CCCAGGAGGAGCAGTGACTGACCAGCGGGCCCTTTCCTTCCTGCACAGGCCTGGGGTGCCATGGAAAATTTCTCCATGGGGTTCAGAGGTCTCCCTTTTCTTCTTGCCCCAAAGAATCCCCCAGGCCCATGCAGCGTGTTTTATATGAATCAACAGGAGGCACAGGACCAGGTCCTGATGTCCTGGTGTCTCTGGACTTCCCAGAGCTGGAAGGGGACAACACCCAAAGGAGGCTTTGCTGTGTCCCCTGGCCCATCTGGGGAGCCTGACGGCAACAGTGCATCCCTGGGGAAAATGAGGAGGGAGGCAGAGCCAGACAGGAAGCCACGATTTTCAATGAACATTCATTAACAGCCGACACAGTGCAGTAAGTATGCTCCACGTCAGCAGGTCTGCCTCTGCAGCTCCACGGTTGTTCGTCTCCTGGGCTCAGCTCCTGCTTCCCTCACCGCTCAGCTAATGCAGATTTTAAGAGCAAATTAAGGGGTAAATTGGGGGCTGGCCCCATGACCTAGTAGTTAAGTTCGGGGCACTCCACTTCATGCTGTGGCAGCGACCCACAGACAAAATAGAGGAAGATTGGCACAGATGTTAGCTCAGGGCAAATCTTCTTCAGGAAAAAAAAAAAATTAAGGAGTAGATCAAGATGGGAGCTTCCATCCTACTGACTGACTTTAAAAACATCAAAGTAGATGATCCGGCTACACATATCTGCGCACGCCCTAAGCCTCAGCCTCCTTATCTGAAGAATGGGAATAACAGCAGTATTTCCTTCTAAGAGCAGCTGTGAGGATTAAGAGAGGTATTGCACAGAGCTGGGAACAGAGGTCCCGAAGAAAAATAATCAGCTACTTCTCTGTCTCTTAGTGCTCGCCGCGTGCCAGGCACCAGCCTAAATGCTCATGACGTGGATCCTCACAACAGACATGCGAGATAGGGCATGGCACTGGCGTTATACCCATTCTACAGATGAGAAGACTGAGGTTCACAGAGGTTACGTAATTATCCAAGGTTGTTCAGGGAGTAAGTGGCAGGGCTGGCACTACAACCCAGATCTCCTGGCTCCAAGGGCAAGGCTCATAAACACTTTGTTCTAAAACCTCCAGGAGGTGAGGGAGGTGGAGCGAACTGCTGAGGCCCATGACAGACATTTCAGCTTGTCCTCGTTGCTCGGGCTTACTCCAAAGAGGGGCTTGGAGGAGGCTCCAGAAAGCGGCCCTCCTGTGGATGTGACAAATGAACGAGGCATGGACAGAGTCTGTTAACCGAGGCCCTCGTGTGCGTGAGTGGAGCCACTGTCCCCTTCCTCTGTCAGGTTTGCTTTCATGAAAGATTAGATGACAGGAAATGCCCGTGTGCTGCTGACCTCCTGACGCTCAAAAGCTGCCCAGGCTGCGAAGGACACAGACGCTGCACCTCTGATGAGCATCACTCACTGGAGATCAAAATGGGGCCGGGGAGTCAGGACCTTGCCCAGCTGCGAGGTCGTCTCCAGCGACAGGGAGCTGTGACGGCAGGAGAGCATCCACGGTCAGGCCCAGGGAACTCCTGCAGGGCTTTCTTACACATTTCATCAGCTCCTCGCTGACACTTTCCCCAGACAAGTTGATCAGATAAGGTTCCTATCTTTCTTCCTCTGATTTCCGAAATGCACCGGTGGCTCCCAAGGCTTCCGTCACTGCCTGGGGGCTTGATTGACTCCTAAGAAAGTCAGACCAAGAGGCACAGCCCTCAGGGCCGCTCCAGGACCTAATACGGTTTTCAGGAGGGCAGTGGAAAGGGCATTGCCCTAAGAGTCCTACCCCTGCCATGGACTGAAACATGACTTTAGACTTTTTGTGCCCCTCCCTGGGCCTCAGTTTTCCTATCTCTAAACCCAGGGGGATTGGACTGGATCAGACATGGAAATATGAGGCATCCCTGCTGTCACCCTTCCCACACCACAAAGGACATAGCTACTCAGTTGCAGCATTCTTTCCCACTGAGCCAGGACTCTGCCTCAGAATCCTTCTTAACACAGAGCACCAAGCATCTCCTACCAATCAATCAGAGTTGGCCTGGAAGAGGAAACCTGGTTGCCATCCTTGGACTCATTGATCTCCAGGTGTCCCTCAGCTCTGAAGACCTGTCATTCTCCTCTGTACACACCAGAAGCACTGAAAGACTCTATCCCCCCTCTCTGGTTTCTGTTTTCTAATTTTCCTTGGACTCCTTGTGCCTTGGCTGGGAACTTGGGGCTGTGTTCACGTGGCAGGGGATAGACAGGCAGGAGGGGCCCTCATGGCCTCAGGAATCAGCTGGGCTGCAGAATCAGGCTTCAGGGAATCAGTCTCTACAGCTTCTCGCCAGTCCTGCTGGGTGTGGCTTTGTGGGTGGCGGCTACCCCAGCCACAGTGACTGTCCCCCTGGGCGTGGGGATGCCAAAACTGAGTGGCATGGAAATTTGAGCTTCTCTGGGGGGCAGGGTGGTGACCCCCAGAGCTGATTCTGAGCCTGCAAACCTGGGGTACTTTTCTGGCCCAGTCACCCCAAACACCCTTTCAATACAACATCTTTTCTACTACATGATTTATACATTAATGACATGTTGTAGCTTTAAAGTTGTTCTTAATATCTTTGCTGTACAAACACTGAATACATCCTAGGGTTTCCTATTGAAATCACAGAAAATGAGCTGTGATGGCTGAAGGATGCTCCTTTGGGCAGCTTCTTAAATGCCCTTCAACATAAAACCCAGGTAACATTCAAAAGGGCAATGCTGGGGCCTGCCCGGTGGCATAGTGGTTAAGTTCACGTGCTCTGTTTTGGTGGCCCAGGGTTCGCAGGTTCGGATCCCAGGCATGGACCTACACACCGCTCATTAAGCCATGCTGTGATGGCGCCCCACATGAAAAATAGAGGAAGATGGGCACAGATGTTAGCTCAGGGACGACCTTCCTCACAGAAAAAAAAAAAGGCCAATGCTGCTGTGGCTCCCTGGGCCTTAGGTGGCAGAGTAAAGATAAAGGATTCTCTGCCAGAAACAGGTTTTGTGTTGATTTTACCTTACAGAAAAACATCCAGATAGAAAGCAAAATATTCTATAAATCTTTTGGACATGTATGTACTCAGTCAAGTATCTGACTTGTAAAAGTGAAGACTCTTGAAAAGGTAAAAAGACATTAAATGAATTCACATCACAGATTTTCAACTTCTGAAGTCACATTTTCTTATCTTATAAGGGGCTCTTAAAAACAAAGCCCCACATGGCACGAGGCTAAACAGATTTATTGAGCACCCCCTCTGAGTAGAGAGCTGAGCCAGCCCTATGGGGGCGAATACTAAGGGGGACATTGTTTCTGCCCTTAGGGAGATTCTAAACCAAGAGCAGAGAGAAAGAACCAGAAGCAAGACAACTTCCAGTGGAAAGGGATGGAGAGCTACACCTCTGAGAGGCCCTGCGGGCTCTGCGGACCTGTTCAAGCATGTCCATCACGAGAGGAAAGAAGGCTTTCTGCAGGAGGTGGCATTTGAGACAGGCCTGGAGAGGGAAGCAAGGAAGTTTTCAGCTGTGGGGAGAAACAGCCTATGCAGAGGTCACAGCCGAGCACCAAGGCAGGATCCAGGAGCTATAAACCTGGCTGAAAAGCAGCAGAGAAGCCAAGTAGGAGAGAAGCTCCAGGAACGAGGTCAAGGCAGGCGGTCTGGGCTTGAAGGCCCAGTGAGGGGTCACTGTAGTATGGAGCCAATGGGGCGCCCACCGAAGGGGCTGAGTCGAGAACAGCTCCAACAGAACAGAGCTTTAGGGGATCTGAATGCCAGTTCTCCACCAGAAAGCAGTGGACGCCACAGCCAGACTGGCCTTCAGCACACCCACGGGCTTTACTTGGCAGGAGTGGACGGGAGACCAGAGAGGCTGCCCAGCCCGAGACCACACACCAAGGGCACTGCCAGCCTAGAACCCACAGCTCCAGCCTGCAAGCCTGACACCTGTTAATGGGCTAAGTCTGATGACAGGCCTTGCAGAGGGCCTAGAACTGCAAGAACATGGCAGCTCATAAACCTCAGCCTGATGAGCTACAGAGCTAGAGGCTGGCAATGCGACTGAATCATCTCGGCACCTGGTGCGGGGACCCAGCTTCCCAGTTGGCTTCCTGGCCCAAGAGGGAAGCCAGGTCCCTGACAAACGTACCGTCTGCTGCTGCACTGGGAGTAGTCAGCCCTTCTGAACTCAGCTGGTTTATCATTTCAAGTGCTTTATATCACCACCTACCATATCTAATGCTGCGAGGGTACGATTTTCCTACCGTGGGCTTGATGGAGAGCTGCGTGGTCTATATGGCTACTGAAAGTGAAATTTAAATTAATGAGAATTACATAATACTCAAAATTCTGTTTCTAAGTTGCACAAGCCACATTTCAAGTGCCCAATGGCCAGTGTGGCCAGTGGCTACTGTTTAGATTGCACAGAACACTTCCATCATTGCAGAATGTTCTGTTGGACGATACTCGTTTATTGCAAGGGTCAGCTAACTACGACCCAGCCTGGGGGCCAAAGCCAGCTGCGATATGTTTTTGTAAATAAGTTTTGTTGGAAAGCAGCCATGCCCATTCATTTGTGTATTGTGTATGTCTGCTTTTGTGCTACAATAGCAAAGTTGAGTACTTGCAACAGAGATCTTATAGACTGCAAAGCCTAAAATATTGGCTATCTGATCCTTTATAAGAAAAGTTTGCTAATCTCTAGTGTAGACTGTCAGCAAGTTGTATGAGGATCTTTTCTGGAAAGATGCTCACTGGCATCCCCAGGAGTCACTAGTGGGTCCCAAGCGTCAGGATGACTTCACCCAAGCACATGCCTCTCCTGGGAAGCAGGCGGGGAACATATAGCCGTCAGCATGGTACAGAGCTGGACTGGGGTGCAGGATGGCCCTCCCCAGGCAGGCGCCTTCTCTAGGGTGACTGACTGCAGACAGAGACGTCCGGGCAGCTGCGAGTCTACCCAGAAAACCACACACTTGAAGGATCTCACCATTTGCTTTCTTTATTTTTCTCATTCTCCCCAGGTGAGTGAGGCAGCAACATTAATAAAAAGTGAGACAAATTTTCTTGCATGGTAATTCAATAACTCCTCCCGAACCAACGCTCCACAGATAATTCTAAGAGCTTTTCATCAAATTTAGCTTAATCTGGAAGGTCCGGCATCCTACCCACCAAAAATAACTCCCATAGTGAGGTCAGGCCAACTTAGGACCCATTCCCAGGAAAGGAGGACTATCTTGACCAGAGAGAGGGCAGGTTAGCCTCCTTCTGGCTCTTTTCAAGTCCCGGCAGGTCAAAGACAAGAGCCAGGCTGGACATCTGGTCCCTCAGGAAGCCTGGCACCTCCTGCCCTCCCCACCCAGGGAGCCCCCGCGGCTACTGGACCAGCAGGGAGTTTGGGGGGTTCTCTGTGAGCCCCAGTGCACACCTGCTGCCCAACAACCACTTTTGCACGATTGCAGCCTTTCTCCCCTTTTATGAACATGATCCTTCGTTGAAGGGAAACGAAACTGACTCTAGAGGCTGACCAAGGCTCACTTGGTCATGTCTCTATTGTCAACAGAGTACAGCAGTTATCTGCAGCAGCTTGGAATGTCCCAGACCAAAGAGGGTGGATTCCCTTAAAATGCCCATGAGCATCTCAAACAGTAACATTTGGGACAGCAGGGCCCTGGGAAGGCTGCAGTTTAGCCGTGCAAATTGCAAATGCAAGGGAACTCTCGCTGTCACGCAAACGGGGGAAGCACGGTTTCCCTTCCCGTGCAGCCAGGAGGCCCTCGACAGGCAAGCTCCTCGCTTTCTCAGACTCCCAGGTTGCCTTGGTGAATTCTCTCACTCCTACCAGCCTTTCTCTGCTGCTCTGCCCAAGTTATTTAGATAAATGGGAACAAAGAAAAGAAAATATCCCTAGCCTTCAGCCCTTCCCCAGGAACCAGCCTTGCAGTGCACACATTCTCCCGGGCCTTCTTGAATTACAGAGAAAACAGTGAGCAAGTCCTCTACGGAGCTACGACCAGGGTGGTTTAATCTGCAGGGGTCCAGGACATGTCTCAATTGTTGGGGTGTCACCCACGCTGTCGTCTCCTCCGCCTGGGCAGCTTCAGCCGCCTGGCTGGCAGGCTGACCGGCTGCTTCCCGAACTTCTCCATGATCTCTCTGATCCTGGCCAGGTTGGTTTTGCCGAGTGTGAAGTCGCAGCGCGTGGCCCCCATGTCATAGCCGACCATGCAGTTCCTGGTGGACGAGGTGAAACCTTCTGCCTTGGCGGTGACCGCATACTCTCCGGGGTTCAGGAGGCGCCAGTAATCCCCATCGCTGGCTGTGGAAAGCAAGCAGAGGAATTCAGAGCGGTTCTTTTCTAACACAGATACCACCAGCCCTGTTACTCCAAGACCAACCTCTTGGCCAGAGAAAGCCTCAGAGGCAGGTGGCGTGGAATTCGAGCCCCTGCAGATGCAAATTCTTAACGCATTTTGGAAGCCAAGACATTTCCTCTTTGGAAGCTACCTTAATGGTTTTAACAGGAAGGGGATTGGGGTGTAGGCTCCCCATGGTGTTAATACATATGAGCAGAGATGGAGAAATGATAGCTAACACTCCTTCTTCTGTGACAATACACACCATTCATTATGAACTTGAACTTTCAAACGATATGCCCTTGCCACAGAATGCCATCTTGAAAAACCATCTGTGCCTGGCTTCCTGGCTTCCCTTAGGACGGCTATAAATATAGAATAGTAATTTTTAAGAGAGGTGGGGCTCCTCACTTGTGAAAAGAGAAGGAAAGAACTACATGGGATGAGGGCCAAGTGGCCTGGAAGGAAGCCCTGGTATGTGCACCTCATTCCGTGGTCTTTGTTCCATGGCCCCCGGGGGCCAAGAGAAACTCGAAGCTGCAGGGACAGGTCCACATGGGGCCTGCAAGGCTGAGCCTCCGACCCGCCAGTTACACCACTGGTCAGTCCTCCAACAAGCACCTAATGGGACCCGGGTCCATCCTTAGCTCTAGGCTAGCTCCTTGTCGCGTCGAGTGGCTTCTAGGCTGAGGCCGCTCCTCCCCAGGGGCCTACAACCTACTGAGGACACTTAGACCCCTGACATTAAAGAGGCCAAGAGACAGACAAGGAGACACCAGCCACTCGCACTGTGAACGTGCACGTGGAAGGACGAGGCAGCCGCCGACCCACTGAACGCTCCAAGGACCTCAGGATGTTGGTCCTGTGATGTTCCCTTTTCTACATGAGTCATTTGATGCCCAGGGAAGTGTAATGTCCGGCACAAGGTCACACAGCTAGGAATTAGCAGGTGGTCTAGGGCCAGGGTTGGTTTTCTCTCTTATGATAGTCTGAACGCCCTGCCTGGTCCAAAGCTTTGGTGCCAGGTAAAGAAGAGGAAAGGCTGGATCTGATGAAGGGCTAAGGAGGCTCCAGGCAAGGCCTACTTGTCTAAACAAGCCCTGAGGTCTCCTAAGGGATGGGAGAAAACTCTGCACGCGTGCGTGCGTGCTTGCGTGCGTGTGTACGTGCCTGTGCATAGCGATCTCCCACACGCGCATATATAACACTTTGAAGCATCATGTTTAAAACCATATAATCTCTATCCATCCGAGGCGCCCCACTCGATGCCGTGCACTCACGAGAGCACGAGATGCTATGAAAATGACTCACGTAGGCAGCTGTTGCCACACACACACACAGTCTGCTGTCAGCGGGACTCCACCCGAGACCCCCAGGGACGCAGCAGGCAGGTGGCTCCCGGCGTTCCTCGGCACTGCACCCCGTGTCTTCCTTTGTGAAAATGCAGGATTTTCGACTACAGAAAATGCCAATTATGGCTCTTCAGAAGGCGAGAGTATTTGTCTTGCAGCCTGAGCCTCACCATGCAGCCTCCCTTTGAGACGTCTCTGGCTCCCACAGCTCCCCGGGCAAACCTGAGGGAGCCACCCCTTCAGCATCCTGCCTGTCCTACAGGCCGGGCGACCTCGAGGCGGAACGGCCTCCTTTTCCTGTCAGGACCCTGCCTTAAGCTGGAGGCTCCTTAAGAGCCTGCGTCTTACTCTTTAGCACCTCACAGTATGTTGCATGTACGTCCTCAATGCTGAGTCGACTGAGTGGGATGGAGAGAAATGCGTGAACGTGAAACCAAATGTCTCATTAACACTTTATGTGAAGCCTCAGCTTCTGCGGGTGCCTTCTCCCCACAAACGCCAGAGTGGACTCAAGGCAAAGAGCCGGCCGCCTGCCGACCTGCCGCGGCCTCTGGAGGGGGAGGCCTCTCAGCGGGGCGTCCGCCTCGAGGGCACTGTGAGGTCAGTCTGAAACACCCGGGGAAGGGGCAGGGTTTTCATGAGGGAAGGTGCCCGGTGAGCTGAGAGGGAGGGAAAGAAATCCATAGTGAATAAATGCTTATCAGCACTACTGATTCAAACTGATGTTGATAAGAAGCTTTTGTGATTCTCCTTCTCCCCCCAAAAGCCAGAAGGCTTCCCCTAACCTCCTCCCCAGTCTACCCTCCACGCTGTGGCCAGCCTCCTTCTTACCACATCATAGCACCCTGTACTTAAACCTGCCCTTAGAACACGGTCACGTGAAACCCAAAGGCCCACACCCTTGCAACCCCAGCTCCTGCCCTCCCCATCCGCATCCCACATCCCCTCGTTCTTGCCACTCTGAACACCTCACAGTGGTTTCCTGAATGGGCCACACACATCTCATGCCTCAGGGCCTTTGCAAATGCTGTTCCCCCTGCTCTTCCCCAACTCCTGTGCTGGGTCAGCTCTCTTTCATCTTTTGAAAACTCAGGCCTTAAGGTTCTATTTAAATGCCTAAAGTTTCTTTCTTTTTTCTTTTTTTTTTTTAAATAATAAAAACTACTCTTCATAATTTAAAAGCAATCTGTGCTGTTCCTATGCCCCTGTTGGATAAGTCTTCAAAGAAAATCCAGGTACAACTTTACCCATTTTAGACAAGCAACTGGAGACTGTCAGCCTGAGGATTCACCTTTTTCAGATACAGGCTAAGTGCTCAGAGCAAAACTCAAACCCAGGCCCTGCTGACCCCTCCCGTGTCACCACATGCCGCTCCCCTCTGCCCACCACTCTCCAGCCACACAGGGCTTTTTGTTCCTCAACTCTTGACCCTGAGCCTTTGTAGTGACTGTTTCCTCTGACTGGAATGCTGTTCCCTGCTCTTCTAAAGGCCAGCTTGTGCTCATCCCTTCAGGGAGGGAAACTTCCTTGGCTTTCCCACCTGTTTCTATATATTACCTGATTTCTTTCTTTCTTATTTTATTTCTTGGCTCTGATCATAGTCTGCAAATAATTTTTAACTTTCCTTTATAATTACTCATAGGTCTCCTCCACTAGAACGTACGTCTGCTCTTCAAGGTCAGGGGCCATACCCGTCTTGTTATCATAGGATCTCTAATCTGGTACATGGTTAGGTGCTCAATAAGGTAAGTTACAAGAATGAATGACACTGTCAGGAATTTGTTTAGGTTCACAGAATGAGCATGGGGGGTGTCAGCTCTGTAATCGGAAAGGTTCCATTTCTGAAACATGGAGAGGCCTGATTCTCTCTTCCGCCTGGCAGGGCATCCTCTCCCCTAGAAATTCTTGGCTGGGCTTTCCCCACGCTTATCCCTGAGGCTCTCATTATCTCTGCTTCTATCCCTGACCAGCAGGAAAGTCTAGAATCATCCGCATCATGAGACTCAGGGGATGGCGTGCTGGGTTACTGTTCCACTGAGCGGGGACTGTGTTCAGAGGTGAGCTTCCGCGGAGCCGCCAGGGAGGTTGACACACAGCCGGCATCGCCTGGCATCTACAGACAGAAGGCACACCCAGGCCCTAGGGAATGTCCATTCGTCAGTAGGTCAGGTTATGTCCCCAAACTAAGGACACTCAGGCGGCACCCTGAGCCAGGCGTTTGGCCAACGTATTTACATGCATTTAGAAAGCATTCTTACTAGTGTCCCTCCCTGTGGAATTCCACTTAATACCCTTGCCTATTTTATGCAAAATCCCTCCTGAAATAAAACTTGTCAGATCACATAAGCCTCAGGCAGAAATCAAGGCAAATTCAGGGCTGATGGTGAGCACTGAAAGACGCTAAAACAAACACAATAAAGAGCCATGTGTGAAGCATGGGCTTCATCCATCATGAGAACACGCTGGGAAGTTATTTATAGGGGAAATACAGGGAGATGTGTTTCCCAGGAGTTCATCAAAACTGTCTCCTTGATTACAGGGGCTTGAAACTCAGAGCTCATTAGGCAAAGTACACTCGGGTGGCTTGTGGGGCCCCAGGGCCTTTTCATCTCCCACTCTGTTTAAAACCCATGTTTTCTCACATTGCGTACTAGGCACTAATAGTTGAAGGAATGGTCCAGGCTCTTTTACAAATCACTCTTTGAAAGGAGCTCATTAGCAATGTTTAAAATACAAGTCCTGTGCAGAGCCGGATCAATAGCATCTTTCATTCACAATAATTGCCAGCACCTTGCACGTATCTGACCCATTGCTGGTGCACAATCTGCATTTGTTGAATTAATGAATGAGTAAATGGATGAATGAATGAAGCAGTGGATGCTTAGGAGGGGATGCTCTGTACCAAATGCCACGCGACACAGTGTGAAACCACGTGGTCAGTGGCTATAAGATCCTCAAGGACAAGCAGAAGGGATGTTTAGAAAATATTGTCGAGGGAAGAAAAAAGACAATTACACGGAAAGAACACGGTTCGCAGTGTTACACAGCAGTCTACTATGTTTTGGTATTTCAGATACATTTCACCCATTTAAACAATAATTAGCCTTCTGTACCAGCTACATTGGCAAGCAGCCTGGCATAGAATACATCGGCCAGGTCTGAATCTCAGCCTCACCCCGTCCTAATGTCCCAGAGTCTCTGTTTCCTTGCGGGTCAAATGCAATCATTTGTTGGGAGAACAGAGTCTGTTAATGCATGTGAACAGTTTGGGGGGAAAAGGCCCCTTCTCCCCTGCAGGAGGAACAGCATGGGGATAAGTAAGGGGCACTGAATTTAGAGTCTCAAGCCTGTGGCTCAAAGCCCAGCTCAGTCATTCACTGTGCACTCAGAAACACCACATCATGTCCACTCATTCATTCAAACTCATCCGTTCATTCAACTATTTATTGAGCACCTACTGAGTGCCAGGCAGTGTGCCTGTAACACACCGATGAACAACAAAACAGTCAAGGATCCTGCCCTAGCAGCAAGGGGAAGGGGCAGAAACAAACAACAAGCACGATAAATATCAGCTTCCTATGAGGTGTGTGAGAAGGGAGGAGCGCTTCGGGGAAAGAAGGAAGTGGGGAGGGTGAGAGCGATCAGCAGGTGGCAGGGGCAGGGGCACAGTGTTACACGGGGTGGTCAGGGCGGGCCTCACTGAGACGGTGACATCTCAGCAAAGAGGGGAGAGGACGAGGAAGGAACCACGGGATGCCCCATGGAAGAAAGTTCAGGCAGAAAGAAGGAGCAGCTAGAGCGAGGACCCCAACACGCGGCCTCAGTCCTTGAGGGGGACTGGGTGGGTGGGGGCCGAGGAGACGGGGTGGCAGGAAACACAGGGGAGCAATTAGCCCTGTTTGCCCGGGACTGAGGGGCTTCCTGGGACTCGGGATTGTCAGTTTTAAACCGGAACAGTCCTGGGCAAACCAGGAGAGTTGGTCACCCCAGGAAGCTGTAGGAGAAGAAATTTGGGACATAATTAGCGGCCCGATTCTGTATGGCCGGGGAGGCACCTTAAGTACTTTGGGGTGCCCCTGCAGGGTTCGAGAAAGGAGTGATATAGCCCAACTTGCCTGGTACCAAGCTCACCCTGGCTGTAAGGCTTGAGGGCAGACAGAGGGGGAGCCTGCCCAGAGGGTACCAGAGTGACTCGGTAGGAGGCAGCAGGCCAGACTAGGGTGACAGCTGAGGAGGAGGTGAGCAGGGGTAGATTCTGCATCTACCTCCTGACACATTGGGCGTGGGGCGTGGGAGAGAAGAACCAAGGCTGAGCCTCTGTTTCCTCATCTGCACCTCATGAATCATCCTGGCTGTCGCACGTTTTACAGGTCCCAACACATGGGGAACATAGGAGGATGACAAACTTGACCTAGTTTGCCCAAGACTGTCTCTATTTTAAGTCTGAAAGGTACACATCCTGGGACACCCCTCAGTCCCAGGCAAACCAGGACAGCTGGCCGGCCCAGCACAGTGCAGGCCAAGGGGCACAGGCCATATTAAACACTTGCTCAGTCAGCGTCATATCTGGCTTCTCCCAGTGGTTCCAGTGTGTCTGAGGGCTGACGAGGTCTATCTTATGGCAATCCCGATTTCCTGTCTCCTGCTGATGAGTCTGTTCTCTGCTCCTGGAAGGGACCTGTAGTAGGTTGAATGGTGACCCTCAAAAATATAGGTCCACATCTGACTACCCAGAGCCTATGAATGTGACATTATTTGGAAAAAAGGTCTTCGTGATGTAATTAAGGATCTCGAGATGAGATCATCCTGGATTAGCCGGGTAGGCCCTAAATCTAATGACAAGTGTCCTTATAAGAGACAGAAGAGGAGGAGGCCATGGGAAGGCGGAGGCAGACGCTGGAGTGATGGGGCCAAGGAAACTCAGGAATGCCTGAAGCCACCAGAAGCTGGAAGAGCCCAGGAAGGATCTACCCGGGAGGGCTCCCAAGGGAGTTTGGCCCTGCTGACACCTTGATTTCAGACTTTTAGCCTCCATATCTGTGGGAGAATAAATTTCTGTTTTTTTAAGCCACCCAGTTTGTGGTCATTTTTCCCAGCACCCACTGGAAACAAATACAGGGCCCAACGCCCAGCTCACTGCAGCTGACACCAAAGCCAAGAGTATCTGCCCAGACTATGACCTCGGAGTCTCCCTCGGTGTACAGATACCTCTGCGTAGGTTTAAACATGGCTATGGACACACCATCTCCAACAGAACTCTTGCAGACAATCTGATTTAGCATTCAGCCAGTCCTCTTTCTTCCACACGCATCCGTCATTGCATCATGCTGCGAACATCATCCATCAAAGTCAAGGTCACTGTATCTTCATTTCCCATTGAACACACCAAGTGCCATCTGAGGTGATGACAGTCCTGGGGTAGTCTGGACTTGTTATCATATCACTTTCTAATCAAAAAGACTAAGGCAGTCTTCATACAGATCAGCAGAGTGTCTGCAGCCTATCTTCCAGCCAGCAGGGCGGCGCCACGTGAGCAGAAAGGACACAGCCCTGGGAGTGGGACACCTGAACCTGAGCCCACTTGCCTCTTAAACCTCCAGGGGCCACTGCCCCTCTTGGAGCTCCTGTTCTTCACCTGAATAAGGGGGAAAGAAGGACCTGCTTCCCCCAAAGCGTTAAAGTGAAAAAAGAAATGAGAGAAAACATCTGTGAAATTTTTGCGAACAGGTAATGTGGGAAACGGGGACAGAGAGAAGCCAGAAAGCACAGGCTGAAAACCTCACCGCCCAGGGTCTCCGTGGAAAGTCAGAGGAAGGAGCCGATACTTCAGCTCTGAGTAAGAAGTCTCCGGTGCTCAACTCATGATTTTAACCCAAGTGAAACACTCCAAGAAACGGATATTTCCTGAGAGTTTATATACATTCGAGTTACCTGTTCGGATGTCGTGGTTAACGCCTTCCACAGAGATCACGGCGTTTGGAATTCCCTTTCCATGTACATCTCTCACCAGGCCTTTGATGCCACGATGAACCTGCTCAGCAAACAGGACGAGATACAGGCTGAGCCCACCAACTCCCCTGACCCAACCGAACCGGCACAGCAAAAAGGCACATAAACCGGACGCCGCCCAGGGCCGCCAAGAACCCGTGCAAAGCCACATGTAGCTTAAAGGCTCGCTGGCTCTGCCTGGGTTTGGTGTGTTAATTTTCATAGTCCTTTTGGGTCCATGCACTAGAAAATCTTCCATTGGAGTTAAAATATCCCAAAGGTTTAAAAAATATTACGATCTGAGATGGTTCATAAAAAACACATCCACTAAAAGTAGAATGTAATTTTTTTTTTTTTTGTGAGGAAGATCAGCCCTGAGCTAACATCCATGCTAATCCTCCTCTTCTTGCAGAGGAAGACCGGCTCTGAGCTAACATCTATTGCCAATCCTCCTCTTTTTTTTTTTTTCCCCAAAGCCCCAGTAGACAGCTGTATGCCATAGTTGCACATCCGTCTAGTTGCTGTATGTGGGACGCGGCCCCAGCATGGCCGGAGAAGCGGTGCCTTGGTGCGCGCCCGGGATCCAAACCCAGGCCACCAGTAGCAGAGCGTGCGCACCCAACCGCCAAGCCATGGGGCCGGCCCAAGAACGTAATTTTTTATAGGCACATTTATTTTGACTTTCCTGGACTATATAGACTTAATATATAAATTTAACAACTTAAGAGTCAGAGAGGGAAGAAAAGAGTCAAAGAAGTTCCTGTCAACTACAGCTCAGTCTACAGCGCCCTCCCACTGATCAGCTGTCATGACACACATCAACTCTGAATTTTGTGCCTCAGTTTCCCCATCTGTGGAATGATGTGACACTACAAGGTGACATATTATTGTTTCCAATGACATTCTTTATACATATTACTAGGCCTAAGCATTTTATCCATAGGAGGCTCTTTGGCTAAATTGGGATCATTACTTTAGAAGGATGAGGTTGCTATAGTCAAGGCCTTCAATCTTTTCGTACATGAAATGAAAAAGAGCCTTCCCTCGCAAAATGCCAGGGTGGGGACAGAAAGTGTGCTCACCGCTTCCCAAGAGGGAAGAACAAGTTCCCACCCTTCCATGCCAGGGAAGTGCTCTGTGGGCTGCACTGAGTGTCTGGGACCCTCCCTGGGCTGATTTGGACGCTAGATCCCTGGGCTGACTTGGATGCTAGATCCTGGTGCGACCTCTGCCACCTGTGTGGAGGTGCAGGTACCAGGAAGCTGGCAGCCCAAGCCATTGGCCGAAGGCTTCTGACTCATCTGTGACAACCCACGGAAGAAGGGGCAGCCTCCGTGTACAGCCTCAGGATCTTACTCCTTAATGGATGGAATCAAGGTAGAGTCATAACTGAGGCTGAACATTCTTTTTGGTTACTCCTCTGGCTTCTAGTTAGTCTGTTCCTTAGTGGGGCATGGATGTTATTCAATTGGTTTTAGCACCAAACTAGAACCAGTTTACTCAATGCTACAAGACGGTGTGTCCTCGAGAGTGGGAGGAAGGGAAGGCGTGTGAGGGTCTAGTGTATGCAGCAGGCTTCCTCACCAGCTGCAAGCAGAACCTCGACAGACACTTGTTAGAACTGCCCCAGGTAATGCCCTGCCGCCTGCAGCAGTGACTCTTCAGCCTGAAGGCTGTTACCGGCGAAGTGTGTCCTCCACAAAATTCCCGTGTTGAAGTCCTCACCCCCAGTAACTTAGGATGTGACTGTGTTTGGAGATAGCATCTTTTGAAGAGGTGATGAAGTTCAAATGAGGCCATTAGGGTGGGCCCTGATCAGGTCTGACTGGTGTCCTTATCAGAAGAGGAAATTTGGACACTCAGAGGCCTCAGGAGTGTAAGCACACAGAGGGAAGACCGTGTGAGGACACCACGAGAAGGTGGTCAGCCGCACGCCAAGGAGAGAGGCTGCAGCATGAAAGCAACCTGCTGACACCTGGATCTTGGACTTCTGGCCTCCAGAACTGTAATTTCTGTTGTTTAAGTCCCCAGTCTGTGTATTTTGTCCTGCAGCCCTAGCAGACTATACAAGGGGCCTGGGCATGCTGGCTCGACACATGTCACCCCTCCCCACAGAGCAGCATCTGAGAACTCCCCAAACTCGTCTCACTCACCATGAACCAGTGGGAGCCATCAACATCCACTCAGAGCTCACTTTCTTGGGTCTAGTCAAGTGTTAATGGATAATGGCTCCTCCCAACACTGCCGTGGCCGAACAGGACAACAGCCAGTTCTGAAGCACCAATTTGGTCTCACGTTTTCAGCCATCTAAAGGGCCTCGTTCCTCAGCTAGCCCCACGACAGCCATGTGCCCACGCCATACCTGCTCCATGAAGACGATTAAGGATTCCCGATTATTCTCCCACTCCTCCGGCAGCTCGCTCTCGTGTGGATATTTGTCACAGCCCACGTAGATGGACAGCTCAAAGCAGTTTGTGTGAAGGTAGCTGAAATCGTTGAGACCTGCCAAGCCAACCAGACAACAGTGTCACTAAGCGATGCTCAAAGTAGCACTGGGGAGACAGCAAGAACATTCAAGACTGTGATTCAGAAGACTTCATTTGAACAAGGAGATGTTGAGTATCTACCGTAGACAAAAAATTACTTAGAGCAGATGCTGGGGGAGGCGACGGGGAGTCGAGAGAGAGGATGCAGCTGAGCCAGAACGGTTTATGGGGGAGACGGGCTTATATGAGAACACCTTGACAAAAAGAGGCCAGAAACAAGGGCTTCTTAGGTAAGATTCTGTTTGTTTTATTAAACTCAGTTTAACACACTATTTTTAGAATAAATGTATCATTAATGAACAGCATGGATTTTAAGTATTTAAATCTATCTCTATAGTTATGCTGCTCTCAGCTACAGCTCTGTAACGGTTTTCTGTTCTAATTCATAAAGATAGCTATCCACATCACCAATTACTGAGTGCCTTATGTAAGCCAGGACCTGTCCTTAGCACTCTGCATCCACTGACCGCAAACCCAGCAGAGAGGTAGGGAGCATTGCACAATTTGACAAATAAGTAAATTGAGGCAGAGAATGGTCAAGAAATGTATCCAGAATCATGTGTCTGGAAAGAGCCAGAGTCAAGGTTTAAACCCAGGTGTGAGTGATGCCAAGATCTTGCTGTTATCTCCAGACAGAGCAGGCTACTGGGGCTGCAGGGCAAATGTACTCATCGGCTAGGCCTGATAGCAGACAAGCCTCACACATCCTGACACGACTACAACAGGATGGGAAGCACCCAGCCCGGCATGGAGTCGGTCCCTTTGTTAGTTTCCTAGGGCTGCTGTTACAAGTGACCACACACTTGGTGACTTAAAAGACCAGAAATTTATCCTCCCATAGTTCTAGAGGCCAGAAGTCTGAATTCCAGGTATGGCCATGCTCCCTCGAAAGGCTCTAAGGGAGGATCCTTCTTTGCCTCTCCAGCTTCTGGTGGCCCCTAGAGTTCTTTGACTTAAGGTCGCATCACTCCAAACTCTGCCTCTGTCTTCACATAGCCTTCTCCTCTGTGTCTGTGTCTCCTCTTCTGTCTCTCATAAGGACATTTGCCAATGATTTGGGGGCCCATCCAGGTAACCCAGGATGACCTCATGTTGAGATTCTTGACTTAATTACACCTGCAAAGACCCATTTTCCAAAGAAGGTGACATTCACAGGTTCTGGAGATTAGGAAGTAGACGTACATTTTGGTGGGGGGAGGTATCATTCAACCACTACAGTACCCAATATTTGTGAAATGAATAAATAAGTGTTGGGTGGCATAAAGGTTCAGTGGCTCTTTTCCCAAAATTTTTGTTTTAGAGAACAGGGTGATGAGCAGGAACACACTGCAGCTGTGTTCTGCATGACCACCAGGAAGCAGTGACCCAGGAGAAGGCACCTCCAACAAGCCCTCCGTGGGTTCTGAGGGTCAGGGAGACAGGGAGTGCAAGTTCAGTGGGCTGGGTGTCTCTGTGCTGACTGAGAAAAAGAGCAGGTCCCCCTGCACTTCAGCCAGCCTCGGCCCAGACTTCCCTCCCTTCTCAGCCCACATAACACTCAGGGATGCATTCCTCAGCATAAATGTCTGTTTAAAAACCACAGCTTTGTCCAGAGCAATTTTGTATCAGTCTCCTGCCTAACCATCAAGTCACAGGCAAAATGGTAGGAAACACACGGCCACTCTCTCTACCGGACTCCAGATTCAAACCATTCACGTCATCAGCCACAACACCTGTGACAAAACAAGAACAGGGAGAAGAGAGGAATAAAAGAGGTGAGACAGCACCAAGTCAATGGAAGACCCTTCGCAGGGGCCTGGTCTGGTTGAAGAAGGTTGATCCAAACGCCAGTTCATCTCATTCAGTTGAACTCAAAGTACAGAATTACAGAGAGTACAGGGAGGCCAGCAGACAAAGCAGCCACCGCTTAATCACAGGGGGGACATCCTGGGAGGGCTGGGCTCCCCTGGCACTAACATTTTCATTATTCCCAACCTGCTAGGCCTTGTTAGTACTGAACTAAATAAACTGATATTTAAAAACTCTGGTGTGGGCCTGCCATTTTGCAATATGTGTCTTCAAAGCACTAGCAGCGCTAGAAGAATTGGTAAAATGATGAGAAACCAGGAGAAGCGTGGAAAAGCTTGGGCCAGGCTCTCTTTGCTGCTGACTTCCAGCCCCTCGGCAAATGTCACATAGCTGAGAATACTTGGTAAAGAATGACTTCAAAAGCAAAACGTGCGGGCAAGGAGCTGTGGCATGACCCGGATCGTTCTTCATAAGCGTTCGGTGCTGGCTGGGGACAGCAAGACATTCCTTTGTGCTCTCTCTTTGCTGGAATCCTGCTCTTGTCACAAGCTTCAACGTGGAACACGGAGCCTTAAAGCATTCCTTAAAGCTCTGTGAACCCAGTGCCATCATAACATCTGTCTTCATTGTCGGGGAGAGGACACGGGCTCACAGCCACCAACAAAGAGGATCCAACATCACCTGGGAGTTAGAACGCACGTACTACAAACGATGTGCATTTTGAGATGTATTGGACCCTGATCTCAACCGCCCCTCTCGCCATTAACTAACTGTCAGTGCACTGCTAATGAGTGAGCAAGAACTGAGCAAAAAGCTGGAGGGGAGGTGGAGGGGGAGGGAAGGAAATTAGAAATCGCATTTCATTAATCTACAAAGAAATGAATCTGCAGATGCATCACACTGCCAGGAGGAGGAATGATTAAAAAGGCTCCAGCCACCACATGGCTCTGCCATAGAAGTCTCGGAAATAATGGAAAATATAATTGACAGAAAAAATCAAATGCTGCTGATGTGATTATGTGGCAGTCACCTTTTCAAAATGTTACTGTTGACCCAACCCTGACAAATCCAGCTGTGTCCATACCCAATTTAGTCACGGCAGCCATAAGAAATAAACAGATACTTCACGTCAAGGTTATTGCAGGCTTTTAGGGCTCGAACTGAAAAGCAAGAATGCTTTTTGGCCATTGGGAAATTTTCTTGATAGACAGGGATTTGCTTTTGCTTTAAATTTTGTACAGAGCAAAAGCACGATGGAGATAAATAAAATACCTCTGCTTGGTATCCGTCCAAGAAAAAAATGGCAAGCTTTCTGTACTTGTTTTAAAATGGCCACGGGAACAAATATATCTACTACTTTTTTATTCTTCTTTTCCCAAGGGTGGAAACATGCCTGAAAAGTATGTGGAGGCTGAATCCCTAGCAAAGTAAAATAATATTAAATTTAATATTAAAGTTAATTAGTAGAGGGAAATAGAGAATAAGATGCTCATAAAAGCGGTTTCATGGTGAGCATGCTACTGGAAGAGGGCAGAAGGGGAGAAGATGGGAAGTTATCATAACTGTTTCCCATAAGCCAGACGGAGAACACACCCACATCCATCACCTACGTAATCCTCACAACAGTTCCTAGATGCATCGTCATCATCATCATCATCGTTGCCATCATTACTGTCTTACAAATGGAAAATATGGGAGTTCAGAGAGGTGAACTAACTTGCCCAGGGTCACACAGCATCTAAGTGATGGACTAGAATTTGAACTCAGGTCTATTTTTCAAATTCATCACTGGTTGACCAATCCCCACAAAGTCAAGAAAATAGGCAATGAGCATTATGTTTGGGGTCTTGTCATCCCAATGCAGAGGGACCTTAGGGAATGTGACATCCTCATCCCTCCTCATTTGGGATCCCTGGGCCAAGAGCACCCCTGATACAGGAAACAAAGTGCTTATCCTGAAACTTAGACCACAGGGTCCTCTGTGGCTGCTGCAAAGGAATTCCTGAAGTCTCTACTGGAAGACTCTCTGGTCCTACGTGGATGCCGGGAGCAATGCCACATATTCCCTGCATCGCACACAGTCAGGCTTCGACCAGATGCTCTGGTATGATGGGGAGGCTGCCTGTGGACCTCCAGCGGATGGGCGATGTGTGAAACGGTCTTTACTATGGGACTCAGGACACACCTGCAGCTCGGAGTCACTTCACACCTGAGCGGGGATCAATGCCCAGCCCTAACTACAGGTTTACAGCACAGGATGTCCCCTACAATGGAAACAGCTCTGGGTGAAAGCCCTGGCTCCAGCATGGGCACCAGCATCCTCTACCCACTTTGCTGGGTTTGCCTTTCGGTCCAATATTTCCCCTAAGTCTACGTTTACTAATTTCTGACCCTATTAAACCTGAATAGCTCAATAGCTAAGAGCAGGCCCCAGAGACAAACAGACCCCAGCTCTGCCCCGTTCTTGCCAGGGCAGATCCCTTCCAGTCTCCAAGCCCCAGTCATCTCGTTCATAAAACAGGGAGTAAGCCACACCCCTCCCCCCCAAGATTGTAGTCAGGATTACAAGGGAGTCTGTGGAGAGGGCTGGCACCTTGCACATGGTTAACCCGGGTAGCTATGATGCTGACAGTAATGACGAAAAGAGGGATGGGAGGAGATGGGCTGCAGGGTCCCACCCTGTCCCAGCGGTCCATTATCGTTTGGCCCCATGATGACAGCAGGACCATCAGAGACTTACTTCCAGCCACAGTGTGCCAGGAAGCCCCATTGACAGTCCCATCCTCCTTCTGGAAGTCTTCCGTGTGGCACACCCTCCTCCTGGCATCAGTCATGAGGCGGTGTGTGGAGGCGTAGGAGTAGGCCAGCCAGCGGAACACGTGGTCGTCGGGCGTGGGGGTATGCTCCTGCGTCTTCCACAGGGACCTCACCATGTCGTAGGGGTACGCCACCACCAGCTCGCCTCCCTGCAGGTTGCCGCCCAGCACGAAGGGGATTTTTTCCATCCAGGCTATGACTGCCCTGGTCTCCACCGCCACCTGTGAGCATTCCAAATTTAAACACGCTTTGATAAATAAATTAAGAAGGAAACTGCTTTCTCTCCATGGCTTTCCAAACAGGGACGTAGGTGGAAAAGGAATAATTTTATGGAATAATCTTGGCAAAATTTAGAATTTCAAAATCTGTCTGGGGAAAACTGGACTTTGCGGAAACAATGAATAAATAAAAGAGAAATCCAAGAAAGTTTCCTTTTGTTGGAATATTCCAGTTAATGCACAAAAGGGCAGGACAGAATCAGAGTATCAACACTTGGCAACCCCAGTGAATTAATGGGTCAGGCACATTCATCAATGGCTACGAAGAGCACAGAGAGAGACATAACCAAACAGGTGTCTCCCAATGGAAGAAGAACACACACCCAAAAAAACCCAGCCCTGAATTGGACCAAGCCTCGAGTCCAGGGGTCGGCAGACTTTTTCTGCAAAGAGCCAAATAGTAAATATTTTAGGCTTCGAGGGCCACACAGTCTCTGTGGCAACTACTCAACTCTGCCGTTATAGACCATCTGCAGATGAATGAGCAGGGCTGTGTCCCAGTGAAATACCGTTTACAAAAACAGGTCTGGGCTGGATGTGGCCCACAGGCTGTGGTTTGCCAAGCCCTGTCTTATCTCGTCCACTCTGGTCTGAATCTTACTGTGCCAATTCACAACAAACACCGAGAAATATGTTACATGACTTCACAAGAACAGCAATTAGCAGCACCCAGACAGCAGAAAATGCTACAAGACAATCTAGTTGTTTATAACCTAGTTGTTACAAGATAAACAACAATAAAATTGCCAGGAAAAAAGAAAAATGATTGAGGAGAAATCTACAATTTAAAGCAGACTTAAAAGATCAATCAAAAACCAATCAAAATGAATGGGCTTTAGGTGGATCCTGATCTAAACAAACTTTGAGAGAGAGATTGAGAATGGTAGTAGGGGAAATATGAACACAGACTGGATATTTTATAATATTAAGAAATTATTTATTTTGATAAGATAATGGTAATAACTTATGGTTTTAAAAGAGAGTCAGATCTTTTAGAGATACTTACTGAAATATTTACAAATGAAATGATATGAAGCCTGGGATTTGCTTCAATAAGCTTGGGGAGGAGGAGAAAGTGGGTGAAGATGTGGATGAAGCAGGAATTGATAAGTGTTGACGCTGAGATGGGTGCATGGGAGTCCTTTACAGCTTTCTCTCTAATTTTGTATGCTTGACATTTTTTTAATGACAAAAAAATTAAGAAAAAAAGAAAACTGACAATGTTAGAAGCCAAAATTAGAAAGCTTGATATGATCAAATACTGATCAATGAATCAAATATTTATCATAAATTGCTAATCCCTATGAAGTTAATTCCAGTAGGATAAAATGAAAAGAAAAGAAATAAACATTGGAAATGGTTTAACTGTGCAGCATAGAAAACTGATTAAGGAATGATATTGACTTGATAGGACTCAGTAAGTTTTGTTTTCGTTTGGTTTCTAAACACATTGGGCGCCCTGCATGGGACTAATCATAGAACTTAGTTCATTACACAGTATCATTATTGGTCCATACTTGGTCCTCTTCCTTTATATATTTTGATATGATAAACACCTGTGAACCCACCATCCAACCCAAGAACCAGATCTTACCGACAACTTCCGTGTACATTCGTGCTTCCCTCTGCCCCATCCTCCTGCTTCCCACTCAGAAGTAACTGCTATCCCCTAAACGGTACGATTCTCATTCTCTCTCTTTTTCATCCCATATGTGTATGCCTAAAAATGTATTATTTGGTTTCACTCACTTGGGGGTGGGGGGCAACCATCCTGATGTTGCCTTCTGCAATTTTTTTCCTTCAATTTTATGTTTCTAAGATACATCTGTGCTGTTACAAAAAGCTACAGTTCAGTCTTTTTCACTTCAGTATGGTGATCTCAGCATTTAATTTATCTATTCTTGTGATGATGGACATAGAGGTAATTTTCCATTTTTTTTGCTATAATGAACAGTGTTGCTTTGGAAGTTCTTGTACTGTCTTGGGTACACATGTGCTGAGATTTATCTTGCATCAGTCACCAGAAGTGGAATTGCAGAGTCTAGCATATATACATATTCCACTTCACAAGATAATATCATTATTTTCCAAAGTCATCGTGCTAATTTACATTCTCACCCACGAGGTGTAAGAGATCCACTGTCCCATATCCTCCCCAACACTTGGGTACTGTCAGACTTCTTAATTTTGCCAATCAATGGGTGTAAAATGTTCTTCTCCACATTTCCTTAGTACTAGTAACGTTGAACATCTTTTCATGTTTATTAACCATATGTTTTCTCCTCCGTGAATTGCCTCTTCATATCTTTTACTCATTTTTCTACTGAGTTGTTTACATTTTTATTATTCGTTATATATTTTAAAATTCTAATTCTTTTCCAATTATATAATTTTTAAATAATTTTCAGTTTTTAGCTTCTCTCATTATAGTTTTTTAAATCTTTTGATGAACAGGCTTTCTTATTTAGATGTAACTGAATTTATTAATCTTTTCTTTCATGATTAATGTCATTTAAAATAGCCTTCCTCACCCTGAAACTAATCATCTATATTATAAAGTTTCACTAGGAGATTTTATTGTAAATGATTGTTAAATTTTGGCAAATGCTTCTTTCTGCAGACAAATTATTTCATTTTATTTCTTTGTTTTCTATCATTTCATCGATTTCCGCTCTTACTTTTTAATCACAATCTTTCTAAATTTTGGGGGTTTCTTCTGTTATTCTTTTGCTAGCTTCTTAAGTTCATTTTCAGCCTTTTTTTCTTTTGGAATACAATCATTTAAAGGGATAAATTCCTGAAAGCACTATTTTCTGCTGTACTCCACAAATTTTGATGTGTAATGTTTTCATTATCACTGAGTTCTAATTATTTTTTTAATTACCAGTATGATCTTTTTCTTTGACCCATTAATTAGAAGTTGTTTTTTTTTAATTTTCTAAATACATGGTGATGTTCTCATTAATCTTATTATTATCTTCAAGTCTAATTGTATGGTGGTGAGAGAATCAAGGTCTGCCTGACTCCTATTTTCTGACATTTATTGAGATTTCCTTCATGGCCTGGAGCATCATCTAGTTTTGAAAATGCTCCAGAGATTATCCAAAGAATATGTATTCTCTAATGCTGGCTGTAGAATTCTTATAGATCCCCTATGTCAAGCCTGTTAATTGTTATTAAAATCTTTACCTTTGCTGATTTCTTATCTATCTACGTAATCCACAACTGAGAAAGGTATTGGTGATGGTAGATTTGTGTAAGTCTCCCTGTACTTCTCACGAATAACAAGCTCAAAAAACTAAATTCTAGTCTTAGAGCAAAGACTGAAATCCAAAGACTTTGTATGACTGTGCTAAAATAATTACTTATCTCTTATAGCCTAGGGCTAAGGAAGCTGGCAATCATATTCCAAGGCAATCATATTCCAACTTTGGTCCAAGGGTTCCGAAATTATAACAGCACTTGAATTCTCAGCTTTGCTAGATGTCATTAGTACATTAGTTTGAAAGAAATGGGGATTTTATAGGATGGAATTAGGAAACGTGAGAAAAGATCCAGAAGACCCAGAGGCCCTTGAATCCTCTACCCCCAGTAGCCGCCCTTGGGCATCCTAACTAAACCACATTGTTTTGCCACTGTCTGTCTCCATCACTTGACCAGTTGCTTCTTGAGGGCCTGGATAACACCATCCTGTGAATCGCTAAATGAGGCAACCATGCTGGCCCTCTTCCAGTAAGTGGTACCCACATGTGCTGTGGGCTGGAGCTCTGAGGCTGGCCAGAGAGCTGCTGCCCTCTGTCCATTCATCCATTCTCCCTTGATTCCTCAGGAAAAGAAGCCAATTTTTAAAAACTTTTTGAGCTTGCAATGTGCTTGCCTAAAATATAGCATTTCCCAGCCTTCCCTGCAATGGCTTGATAACCCCTCTTGACTAAATTCTGGCCAATGAGATTTAAGTAGAAGTAGTATGTAAGAATTCTAGGAATACTGCTTAAAGGAAATAGAAGTATCATAGAGGAGGATCTTCTATTTTTTTAACCCTTTCTTTCCTCTTCCTTCACAGACACAACAATGGAGCACCCACTGCCATCTTGGATTATGACATCTTGAGGATGAAAGTCACATGCTAACATGGTGCAGGCAGAAGAGGAGTCCTGGGTTCCTGATGATCATGGGGCTTCTTTCTGGCCAGCCGTGTCCTGTCTGCCTCAAGAGTCCTTTTATGTGAAAAAAGAAAGATACTTCTACCTTGTTAAGCTACTGTTATTTTGGTTTTTCTGTTGTTGCAGCTGAACCTAACCCTCACTTACATAGCAATCAAGGTAGGCCTCTTGAAGGACACATAGGATCAAAGTCTAGGGATAAAGAGGCAGATTACTATGGGCAGAGTAGGCTTGGAAAATTTCATGAGAATTATTTCTTCTATAACATATTCTTTGTGAAACAAGACCTAAGAAATTTAAGAGAAACATTTCTCATCCAATTGCATTTTTCTTTCTGAAGAAGTACCACATGTAACAAATCCATGGGGACTTATTAAAATAAAAATAAGATATCTCAAGCAATCAGTGAGGGCTAAGGACAATTTCATAGCAGGATAACTGCCAAAGATGAGGGTAATGATGATAGTAATAAACGTACAATTCAGGAGAATTTTGTTTTTGTTTTTGAAGCACTGTGTGGTTGTAAAGAAATAAAATTAAATGATTTCTCTTCTGTGAAGAATCTCCTCAAATATCAATTTAAAAGGTAGTTATAATTTTTACAATGTCATAAACCAATGTTACTGCAATAAACAAAAAATTTAAAAAAAAAAAAGGTAGTTATTATCTAGCACACTTCCCCACTTTTGGAGAAAACAAGAAAGAAAAAATGGTTTTGTCTTGTCTTTAAGAAAATGTCACATTCTCTGCAAATACCAGGGGGTGTTAACGTCGGCCTTCGCCGCTCTATAGATTATGGGGTATTTTTACTCACCGTGGCATTTTCAGACAGAAACCACTCAGGAATTGCAATATAGTGATTCGGAACTTTCCTTGGTGTGTTCGTTCGGTCCTCTGCCTCCCAGAGCAGCGTGTTCAAGTCAGGAAAGTTGTTGTTGATGTCAATCCCGTCGTGGGTCCAGCGTCCCAGGGACCAGCCTCCCAGCTCTGAGCCCTGGGAGACAATTCAGAACATGAGGAACTCACAGACTTCGGGACAGTGCTGCCTCTCACACACAAGCCACCTCCACCTCCCTCTGGGGTGTGTCTCTAAGCCTCTACACACCCTCGCTCCCAAAGATGACATCCAAAGGAGAACATTGAAACACTTGCTAGTAATATTTGGTGGGTGATGGATAATATAGCCAAATCACTCCAAAGAGAGAATGCAGAGAACCGCACCCCCCACACGGCAGTGCTCAGAAAGTATTAGGTCCCTTCTTACCCCTCCTCCCTCATCTCTTCTACACTGGTCGGATGAAACTCCGAGTAGTAATGAGTCTAAGACTCCATCATTGCAAAATCAACAGCCACCACATCAATACGTTCTCTCTGCCTGCCCATACTTCTGGCTCACTAGTGAGCATGGCAAATCCCTCACCAACTATTTGCACCAATAAACACAACCAAAATTCTGCATCATAAAGCTTGCATTTGAAAGGTACCATTGTTTTAAGTATATTTTTCCATTTTATTCTCAGATTTTGTGATATATCATTATAGATACACCACACAACATACTACTAACTATACGCTATAAATAATTCTATACATTGTATATTCTATACATAACTGTAACCTATACAAATTCTATATCATAATTAGAACATGAAATATGAACAATATATAAGAATAATAAAACAACTCTCCTCAGAGACTGATGAGAGGATACAGGTAATAAGCAACGTTAGTGCATGCTTTGATTAAGCGCTAATCAATGTTAGGTGTTATTATTATTCTATTCTTTATTATCATTGTATATATAAAACAATGCTACTATTCACGTTCACTTTCTGCAGTCTGTTGGCATGTCCACCTCTCAGGTTCCCCATAATTCTCAATCCCTGCTTTGCATCTTTCATAAGCCTTATGGGTTCCTCTGCCTCAGCAGAGACACTCAGAAAGAAAGCTTGTCCTGTGGAATTTATATCAACTCATGGCCGAGCATGCTCTGCAGTTAGAGCTGCCACATGCGGCGAGAGAAGTGGTACCATTACCCCTTCATAGGCCTTCTCGTAGCCGTCGGGGTTGAGGGAGGGGAGGATGTGAATCCGGGTCTCTTCTACCAGGTAGACGATGCGTGGGTTCCGGGCCAAGTACTCCTGGCACAGGAACTGCATCAGCAGAAGCATCAGCTCCCGGCCCAGCACCTCGTTGCCATGGGCCCCTGCGATGTAGTGGAACTCAGGCTCACCTTTACTCAAAGGGGGGAAAAATATAGGTTCATAACGGATGCTTCTAGCAAAACAGCCCTTATCACACTGTGTTAGGGAAAAAAAAAAATCTCTGAGTAATATAAACTTACAATTTTAGCCCTATCTATGCTTTCAAATAAACCTCCAAAATTATATCAGTATAATTTTTTATTCCCAAAGAGTCAGGTATATAAGAAAATGTGTAGAAAAACCTTAGATGATACCAGCCACAGGGTAATAATGTTTATTCTTATTTAGCAAGAATAGATAAAATCACACAGTGCTTAGGGTTTAAAATGTACAAATTAAACACAAGCCACAGCAATTATTTTTCTCCTTTGGGAGGCAACTGTTTTTCTTAAAAGAACGTCCTATTACATTTTATGAAGACACAAAGATTTGAATAAGCACAAGCAGAAGATCGTCCAGCAGAGCAAATCAGCAGCGAGACGATTCTGTAAAGGGGGCCGCCTTTGAGCTTTTCCTCTTCAACGCTCAGTTGCTTCAGTGTCGGGATTTATCGGTGCCGGGTACGAGCTGACGATGCTCTCCTTTCCTCACTGGCCAAGCTATGCTTTTGAGAAAATGTGATTTTACCGGGAAACAAAGCCCTTACCCTTGAAAAGCTACTCCTAGAGGAACTCCTGAAATACTGATGAATGTTAGAGTTGAATGAATTAGACAAATCTCTGCACTTAAATATCGACAGATTTCTAAAGGGCTCGCAGATTTACCACAGAAAAAGCAGAGAGGCCCCTCTGACCTAGAGGAGAACACAGGTTCAGGAGTGACTGAATGGGAAATGGCTGAAATCAGGGAATGCTTGAAAAGAGGACTGAAATCAAAAAAAAATTAAGGAGACCCCCTCTAACTTGAGTCATTAATGACCAGGGAGTCCAGAATTTTCTCTGGCTACTTTCTTCTTTGGTTAGTGTGATCAGTCTCAGAGCTGAGGACTGAATTCAATACAGTCCATTTGGAGGAAAGGAGGGTATTTCTAGCTTAAACAAGTCGATAGCCCGGATCTCAAGAAAAGAGGTTCACAGAACCAAAATCTACAGAATCAGTCTACGTGAGAGTGAGGCATGGACAGCTCCTGTCCTGCTGCATGAATGTTCTCGCAGAGGGACCCATCTCCCAGCTCTTTAAGAAGGCACCCAACATGACAGGGCAGGGGTACCACGGAGGGGCAGCCTCACCGACTTCGTGCTCCCCGGGGTGGTCGGAGATCTCCACGGCGTACAGCTTCAGCCCCTGGTGGCTCTTGCCAATGTTGTAAATTCTGGTGATATTGGGGCACATTTCATTCACGACCTTCATCAACTGAAAAACAAAATGGATTTAAGGCTCTAAGCAATGACGGCCATGCACTAAAGGGACAGGCCTCCCAAGAAGACAGCCACCTACTGCTCCTCGCCCACAACCCCCCTACACGCCCCTACCCTCCCCACACACCAGTGCTATCCCCTCTGCCTGGAAGGTTCTCCTTGTGCCTCCTCTTCCCTGATCTCCCAGCACCCCTTGGTTGTGGTATCACCTCCCTCGATTGTGGTTATCACCTCCCTTGGTCATGGGTATCACCTCCCTTGGTTGTGGTATCACCTCTCTTGGTTGTGGTTATCACCTCTCCTGGCTGTGGTATCACCTCTCTTGGTTGTAGTTATCATCTCCCTTGGTTGTGGTATCACCTTCCTTGGTTGTGGTATCACCTCTCTTGGTTGTGGTATCACTTCTCTTTGTTGTGGTTATCACTTTCCTTGGTTGTGGTATCACCTCTCTCAATTGTGGTTAGCATCTCCCTTGGTTGTGGTATCACCTCCCTTAGTTGTGGTTATCATCTCCCTTGGTTGCCTATCACCTCCCTTAATTGTGGTTAGCATCTCCCTTGGTTGTGGTAATCACCTCCCGTGGTTGTGGTCATCATTTCCCTTGGTTGTGGTTATCACCTCCCTTGGTTGTGGGTATTATCTCCCTTGGCTGTGGTTATCATCTCCCTTGGTTGTGGTATCACCTCCCTTGGTTGTGGTTATTGCCTCCCTTGGCTATGCTGTTACCTTTTCACTGTGATTTCTGTTTTCTTATAGTCCCCTCACTAGACTGCAGATCCTTTAAGAAACAGACTGAGTCTTTATCTCTATATCCGTCCCTAAATAAATATTTATTACTGAATATCAATTTCCTCTAAGAATTTCATGAGCATCTATGATGTCAGGCTGAGGAAACAGGCTGCTCCTGCCTTCCTGGAGCTTAAAGTGCAGCAACAGCAGGAGTCACGGGATGACTCTCTTCACTGTGCTAAGCGAGAGAGCAGAGGGTGGTGGGGAGTCACGCAGTTAAAGGGTGGGGAAGCAGGCTTCCCCAAGGAAGTGCAATAAATACATGTTGTTTTCTGAATTTTGCTTTTAAAGTCAAGCTAGTCAGACTGACAGGTTCAGTCTGCGAGAATAAGACAGCTGCCAGAAGAGGTGAGGAGGACTCTGGGAGTCGCAGGAGCACAAGCTGCCCTTGGGGACGGAGGCCCGAGACACCCTCCCAGAGGCTGCCTGCCTCCCATCTCCGAACAAGTCCGTGTGAGCGAGCTGTTAAGTAGACTTGATTTGCTGGGTGAAATGGCTTAGCAATCCCCAAGGGAAAGAGATCTGATGGGGGTGTTTAGAGTCTATTCATCAATGTTTACTGAAGAGCCCGCTGCTCAGCCAGGCACCAGACCAGCCACTCTCGTGGGGGAGGCAGGAGCCTTCGTGGGACAATTTCGCGACAGTGTGCTAAAAACCAGGAGGGAAGCTCGAGTGCTGTAGAAGCAGCGAGAAAGGACATCCCAGCCAGGGTGGCGGGCGGGCAGGTGCCTATGAGGGAGGGCTTCATCCTTCCGGAAGATGAGCAGGAGTGGGTTGTGGTGACTAGAGGAAGGGCACGGCCCCACAGGGACAGTGTGGATCTGGACGTGCTCTAGCCATGTTTCACAAAATTCTTGATCAACTGAATTATCCATAAAATGTGCTTATAAGTCCTAAGTAAACAAATCTGTTGCAAAATTTTATGATGGGTTAAAAATCTATGGGAACTGGAAAATTGGTATTATGTAGAATTGATGATACAGTGGAGTTATATCGCTGTGCGCTTCATTTGCCTTTCATAACAGAACATTCTGCAGACTGGGTAGAGGCGTTTAAGGAGCATCAATGAGCATTTCTAAAGGAATGGAGAGATTTACTGCCCTATAGCTTTGCTTTTATGACACAGCTACGAGGTGTTACAGGTGCAGTCTCAGTCAGGAATTCAGGGTCTAATTCTCTCACTGCTCCTGGGGAGAAATGTGCTTCACTTTATGATAACTCACTTTGCGTTACAATACGTGGTGAGAGAAAAAGAAAGCTGACTGGACTCTTGCTCACAGGAGGGGAAAAGCAGAAACCCACCATCAGCGGACAGACAACGTGAAGGGAGACGGAGCTTCTACATCCATCACCACAAGAGACACACGCTGCGGGACTGCAGTGGAGCCACATATGAGTAGCACCACGTTTCACCAAGATACAGTAACAATGTCACCAATGACGTTAACTATCAGTAATAACGTGTTGTATTTCTCTACCGAATCTCACTGTCACGATCACCAGGTGAAGTAGATAAGGCAGAGGTGACTGTCCCCATTCTACAGACATGGAGACTGAGGCTCAGAGAGACACTGAGTGATCTGCCCAGGGTCACCCAGCTGGTATGAGGTGCAGCCAGGGCTTTGGACTCTCAGGGCTTTACCTGTCCATGAAGGGGCAGCAAAGCAATGAAAACCAGCACATCTCTGCTGTCCATTCTGTCTGCTGTCCACGGCGACTGTTCTGAAAGATGGCCACAGCACACTTGCCATCTGATTCGGGGCCCCGTGTACTAGTTCCTTTTGACTGCACAGTCATGCTCAGCTACCAGCATCAACCCCAGCAAATCCTGATCAGCAGGTGATCCACTGTCTTCCGTTCAGATCAATGATTAGTTCTGCAGACATTGAGCCCATCAGCTCGTTCTTAACTAGGCAATGAACGCAAGCCTTCAGCACAGAGCCTGGATGTCACTTAATGCCTACTCTTTCCCCATTTCAATCAGCTGCTGGAGAAATGTGCCACGTGTGCTAGAGATCGTGACCTTGACACTGTAAAAAGACAAATACCATCTTCCCTTGGATGCACACTTAGTCATGGACACAGTCTCTCACTATGGGCTGACTCTCAGCCGTGAGTCATCAGTCACCTCTGTAAACTCTACCCACTGTGGTGGTGTTTTTGACCAGCCACATTTTCCTTCCTGTGTTGTGGTGTCACAAGCACCTTTTCCACAGATAAGATTGAGAACACGGGCACTTAAAGCATCTCCTTTAGGCAGGTTCTTTGCAATCTTCTCTGCACAGTGGCCCTCTGAAACGCCAGGGAGGGTTTCTCCAGCGGCCACGAGTACCATCAGAGACCTGGGGGTGATCCCCCTTGCTCCTTCCTGAAAAGCATCAAAGATTTTTCTTTTTGGAGTTTGGGCCCTAGTGGTAAACATTTGTGTCCTGATGGCTAAATTGAGAGTAAGGAATAGAATTTTCTTCATGTTCTTAGAGCATGCAATCTCAACAGGGGTGACCCCCAAGCAGACAAAAGTTGGTTCTCTGGGGGCTAAAAGTCTTAGATATTACAATGCTTTGTGGATCTCCAAAGCTCAGCCGTATCTGACAAAACCTTAGTATTTAATATAATGAGGAGAGGGTAATTAAGAAAAATGTCTAAAAAGGCTCCATGAGGGGGCAGTAATGAAAAAAGTTGAGAAACATCACCTTAGAGAGTACCTGGGTTTGCAAGACTCAGCGAAGTCAAGACTGTTTCCTCATCTCTGAGACGGGAAGAACCTACCCTCCTTGTTTATTCCCCAGAATTCTAGGCTCTGTTGTTTCCCTCCTCTCCTGGAGGAAATAGAGGAAAAAGTCCCCTTTTCTAGTAATTGAGTTTCTAGCAATATATCAGAAGGAACTTTCTCATAGAGATTGGTAAAATTATATGCATGATGACACGCGTCGTAGCATGCTCAGACTTTCTCGGTGTTCGTTCAAAGCTGGGAGCTGTCCAAATGCTCCACAGCAGGAATAGAGCTGAGAAACCCGTGATGCATCCACTCACTGGAACATTCTGCAGCATTACAATTACAATTATGAAGACAGCATGGAAGATGGCTAACGATCCAATATTAACTGAGAAAAGCAGGGCAAAGTTGTAACCATCTTCTGAACAAAATCATACAAAATCTGGGAACACAGAAATTCAAACACTGGACAGAAGCAGGAAAAATGAAAATCGCTTATTTTTGAGGGTAGTGGGTTCATGGAAGATTAAGTTTTAGACTTTTGGTGTGCATTTGATGTTGACACAATACTGTTTGTTCAGTATTTAATTCTGTGTTCAGAATTAAAATGTTAAAAAGAAAAAGAAAGGAAAAGGGAAAAATCCTCTTCCACCATCTTTACTTATTTGCCTGAGAAACAGACACTGCATCTGATCAAATGGGAAAGGAATTCCAGAGGAACGGAATCATGGAAGGAGGCATCTCAATGGTGAGATCCATTGTCTGGATCTGCAGGCCTGCTGCCCTGCCCTGGCTTCCTGCCACCATCGCCCACCACCAGGGTCAGGCTGAGCATGGAGCCCCCACAGCCTGATGCCCCAGACCCTCCTGAGCTGTCCTGGAAGTCAATCCCACCAGGTGGCTGCTTTCCAACTCATGTTTCTACTTCTCTCTACTGCATCACACTCCACTTATCAGCCAACCAGCCAGAACTTCCTGAGCATTTGGGACCTGACGACACAATGCCCAACACCAAAGGCAAATTATTCACCTTTTCCTCAAAACCACTTCTTTTCCTCCCTTTGTAGATGGTACCTCACCCCCCTTGGAAGCATGCCAGACCCCTCTCTCTACCCAACTCACTCCAACAGGTGACCCAGGACTAGCCAGTCCACCTCAGAATGCCTCTCTCCTCTTCCTTTTTCAGGCCCCATAGGTCCCTCTCCTGGGGACTGCTCGCCAGTCTATCCTCCATACAACTTCCAGACTGATGTCCCTGAGCTCTGTGCACATAAACCCTCCTCTGATTCTCAGACTCAGTACAAAAGCCTCTCCCAGGACTCAGGCCAGCCTCCTCTCCCAGCAGACTGTCAACTGTTCCAGAAACATGCCCTTTGCTACCTCCACACCTTTGCTCTTGCTGTCCTCAATGCTCAGAGCACCCTTCCTTCCATCTCTGCCTGCCCAAGGCTGGCCACAGGCCCTGGATGATAGCCAACCCATCTCAATCAAAGCCCTTCCCAACCACGGCCAACCAGGTCGGTCACTTCTCCCTCCCTCTCCCCAGATATCTCCCCTGTAATGACCTCAAATGTACATGTTTATCTAGTACACATTAGAGATTTACAATAAAATGACAGAGTCTCTGCCTTCATGGTCCCAAATGAAGGAGACATGTACTGTACACGTAGAAAACAGATGACTAAGCAATTATAAATCGTGACACATACTTGAAGGCCTTCAGCACTCTGGGAATAATTAACGTACTCTGCATTATAATATAAGTGGTTGTGCAATTTTCTCCTTCCTCTCCTTGTCCCTTCCCCATGCCAGCCTCATGGGACACCCCCTGGAGAGAGAACAGTGTCTTATAAGTCACTGCTCTAGAAATACTTCCTGCACACACATTCTCATGACTTTCCCCTTCCAAAGCAATCAGGGTTTCTATTTTCTCTTCTCTCTTCCTGCACCTGCTGCTGTTTCTCTCTCTCTCTTTTTTTTTTTTTTTTTTTTTTTGGTTTGTTGTAAATGTCTCTTTCAATTCTAGGATAAACTAACATTTGTTTTTTGCTGAAGTAGAAAGATTCCTACAGTAACCTAGCAGGCTCCATACAGGGAATTGCTAAAGAGGCTGGCTTCTTTCCCATCCCCAGGAGCCATGAATCCAAATGGCAAATCACTTCTGGCTTGAACACTCTTCAAGACTGATAAGATGCTCCCCTGCACTCCACTCCTGTGGAGTGCTGTGGGGCCCTGGGACCTTGGAGGGGTCACCCAACAGCACCTGCAGGGGGAGCCTTGACCACTCCAAGGCTCCTCTTAGCTAACATCTACAAGTGACTATGACCAGAGTTGCTCGGGGGAATGAAGCAGACTCCACCAACTCTCCTTATATGAGAAGCATCCCATGCTGGACAACTATTTAAAGACTCCAGATACCCAAACTCTCTGTGCAGTTAGGTCATTGTAAATGCATTTAGATTTATTGCTTTTGACATTAATTGCACCAACTGAGTTGATATTTGTCTAATTTCTGGGCTCGAAAAGATGTCCTAAGATGTTCAGTGAGCAAAGCTGAGTTAATACACAAGTACTCTGTGAATTGGAAGAGTGAGCAGAGCCATATAAATACCCAAGAATGTAGAGCAGCAGGGATGACTCACAGACCTCAAGTCCAAACACATTATCCCGATTTCTGAAGAGCAAGACAGCAAGACAATTTCTTTAGCACGTCGCACCTCCAAGTCTGTGCTGACAGGTGTCTGGAAGCTGTGTGTGAGGATCTCAAATTAAATGACATCAAGACAAACCGGGTTTGTTGACTCCGGGGGAGGAGGCAGAGAGCCTTCTCGGCTCAGCCTAATTGCTCTGACCTCAGGAACATCTCCTGCAGTTGTCCTGGGCACTGCTTCCCTCCCTCAGCGCCTATGAGCCCTCCCTTCGACCATGTTAATTTGGCCTTAGTGAATCGTTGTTCTGTAAATGTATTGATGAGGACATTTTTCTCTGTTCTGTCTCTTCAAACAGATTCTTAGATATCTAAGGATTTCTCATTTGCCAGCACCTCCCCGTCTTCCACACCAGGCTGGGGGCAACCCCTGAACAGGATTTCATAGGCAGCCAGCATAGAGACTGTTCTTCCCGCTTGTCCTAATAAACGTTTAATCCTCTCTCCCCTCCGCACCCAGGATGCAAATACTGTCAGTAGCTCAGAATGACTTGGTTTCTAATTAAATCTGGGGACAATCTCATCTGGGATCGTCTTTCCCTCCTAACAGCACTGAAGTACTAACAGCTATAAAGTTACCTACCAGTAGTTCTGAAGCCTGGCTCTGCGTTAGAATCGCAAGGACAGCTTTTAAAAATCTAGAACCCCAGGCCCTTCTCCTAAGGACTCTGCTGTCATTGGCCCGAGGCGGGGTTCAAGTACAGGTGTTTTTTCCAAATTTCCCCAGATGATTTTAATATGCAACCAAAATCAAGAATCAGAGAATCTGAATACCAAGAGGTCACGTTACATATCCCCTCGGTAACTCGGTTTCCCCATCAGTAAGACAAGGATAACAACAGTCCCTGCCCTCCCAGCATGGTTAGGATGACTGACCACGTCAGTGCAGGTAAATTGCTCATGTAGGTAAATTAATGTAGGTTCCACGTGAGGGCTCCTGCTATTACTATCATCAGTATATTCTAGATCCTTTTTCTTCTTCGACTCTGCATGTGACTAACATCCTTAAATCAGTGCTATCACTCAAACACACAGTGATTCTTAAGAACTAGAGTATGAAATCAGAGAATTCTGAGTTAGCATTCTTTTTTAATCAGTTGCTGGCAAGGGAGCCTTCCTCTGGTCACCCGAACCTCAATGAGGCACCTCACCCTTGAAACTGCAGGCATTTAGTGTGGCTTCAGCAAACCATGACCAGTCAGATTCTGTTCTGAACACATCATCCTAATTTCTGAAAATAAAAAAGTATGTGCTTCTGGGCACATAATATACTGCTCTTTGACAAATCTGGATCTTACCTGGCGCATTTCCTTATAGTTGTGGTGCTTAAAATCCAGGTTATCAGTTGTGGTCATTTCATTCCGTCGGTGATAGTAGTTATTTGGATCTAGGGACAGAAATATGGTTTTGAATTCACACACATCATTCTATTACTTATGGCGGCTCTGTTCAGTGCCTGATTCACTTGGGGACACAGCCCAATCTCCAGCTTCTAACATTTGCACAGAGGTGACAGAGCCAATTTTCCAGAAGCATCTTAGAAGTCAGAATTACCCAGTGTTGGAGCACGTAGGGCTGGAGCCAGAATGCCTGGTTCAAATCTCTGCTCTCCTACTTACATGCTGTGTGACCTTGGATAACTCACGGGAACAGTCTTTGTCTTAGTTTCTTCACCCACAAGCAGGGAAAATACTGGTACCTCCCTCATTGGTTTATTGTTTATTATAGTAGTATAAGTTGGGATAATCTATGTGCCTGGCAAACTGCCAGCACTAAATGAACAAATGAATAAGTGAATGAATGAATATCACAACTGCATGCATAAACGGAAATTTCTGGCAGTGCGGTGGACACTATTAGTTGCCTACCCAGCATTCAGTCCACTTTCATCCTTCCTAACAGAAACTGTGCCTGGGAATCCCTCTTCTCCACTTCTGGGAAGCTGACCTCATGTCCTCAGCTCCAGGGGTCCCACATGACTCGTCTAAGCCAATCAGAGCACAGCACCCTCTGGCCACTCCTGTTGATCCAGATGGAAGGGAAGGACTTTAATGGCACAGAGGAGGAGTAAGCGAGAATCTCTCCAGAGTAGAGGACAGAGAGAACCCCTAGAGCATCAGGAGCTACTAAGTGAACCAACTCTGATCCCAACCAGCCTCCCTTGGGACTCCCAATCACGTGAGATAAAGAATTCCCTTAGCTGCTAAGCCAGTGGGAGCTGGGGTTTCTGCTGTTGGAGCTGGAGCACCCTAACAGGCATAATCTGGATATATTAACAGTGGTGACCTCTGGGGACTGGTTTTTAGGGGTCCAGGAGGAGATGTCTGCTCTTGACTTGATTCTCTTCCATATAAACTGACTTTTTTTTATTTAATTCCTATAAGCCTGTGTTGTTTATATAATTACAGAAACAGAGAACACTCAGAAGAAAGGAGAGGACAGGGAGAAGGAAGAGTGAGAAGGAGGATGAAGGGGAAGGGACCACTCAGTCGGCCTTGAGGTCTTTCTCCTGACCTGACAAAAGTAGTGAGGCTTACAGACTCTCAGCTGGCCTCACCATCTCCATCTGAAGGACGCAGCCAGAAACCCCAGCCAGCTCAGATCTCCCTCCAGCATAGAGAGAACATGGGGCGTTAGGTCAGTTTCCCAACCCAGCAACCAAGTACACAACGTTGGAACCACAGCAGGTGTCAGTTTGGTCTAAGTGGCTTGAAAGGAGATTCTGGAGGTGCTGGCAGTGGTGGGTGATGCTCCCAGTGGTATCAGGAGCAGCGAGTCCCAATTTCTGCCACCAAAAGTGGCCCACAGACCAGTGCTTCGGCTGCTTGTTAGACCTGGCCCACACCTATTGAATCAGAGCCACATTTTAAAGAAATCCCAGCTGACTCCGTGGGCTCGGAAGTTTGAGAAGCACCGTGTTAAAGTACTGAGCACACTGCCAGCAGGGACGAGGTATTCAGTGCATGTTACCCACACCTGCGACCAGCTGAACTAGCTGCATGTCTGCATCCCCACAGCCACATGTCATGTCGTGAACTCGCCGGGTTCCCTTACAGACGGGCCTCACCCTTGATTAAGGAGGCCACATACAACGAGTGGAAAAATCACATATAGACCCTCACACCGAAAAGACAGTTTTCGACATTCACAAAAGGTTTGCCAGTACTACTATTAGAAACAAATCTCTGTCATTGAAAGGGAAATGATGTGGGAGGGCAAACTGCGTTCTGTCCAGGGAAGAAAGCAAAAGCAGTTCAGGTTTAGCCAAGGCCCCCAATCACCTTTCAGGCACTTTCCTTTTGGGAGAGAAGGCGGACCATGCCCTCAGGCAAGCGTCTTCCCTGTGATTTCCAAACTGGTATGTTTCAAAGCAAAGGTAAAGCATATTTTTCACATTAATTTACACTTACCTTACCCCCATGCTGTTTTCCAAGAGCGATTCAGCACCCCCAAGTCCCAGGGACCTCCTTCCAAAACCCTTTGAAGCCCCCTTTGTCTCAAACACAAGCTATGCCTTCAAGGTTCTCATAAAGGATTGAAAGAAAACTCGGAACTCGAAGTACAAAAGAGCTCCACGTTTGGCAACAATCTTCCTTCCTTAAGACGAGTCAGTCTGCCTAAGGATACGGGTACAAGTTCCAGAACTGTCTCAAAACCACGGGTGAGTATTTTTCACATCTTTCAGTCTCCCACATTTTGAGAAAACACACTTTCATTTGTCCATTTATTCTGATTGAATAAAGTTTTACTGAGAACCTATTAGGAGCCCAGCCCTGAAGGTAAAGAGACGCGTGAGATCTGAGCCTAGCCCTCCTAGGGCCGAGTCTACAGACACAGCCAACTAGTCAGCCAAACTCCCTGTTCCTTCTTCCTTCTGTGGACAAAAGAATCCCTTTCTCCTCTGGGGAATCTATCCCAGATGGTTCCTATGGAATTGCTTTGTCCAACACTCACAGGTATGGACATGTGACCCAGGTCCAGCCAATTAAAACACTTTGTCCTCTGGCCACAGTCACTGGCTCAGAGATGATCCCAGGATCCAAGCTGGGCCAATCAGACAGCTCTCCTCCCAGAGCTACAGGAGCAGCCTCCTTCCCCTGGAGTCACTCAGACGGTAGGATGGGTTTGGTAATGGCCAACCTGCCTGTCTGTGGAATAGCGAGGGGGGAACTCTGACCGCACCAGGAAGGCCCTGAGAGAGTAGAACTATTCTTGCCTGAAGCCAGAGTGAGATCTACTCCTAGAATTTTCATTTACGTGAGCCAAAATTTTCCCTTTTGTTCCTCCCTTCAGCTAATTTGAGTAGGACTTCTGACATTTGAAACAGTCCTGACTGATTCAGTCTGCAAGGCCTTCATCGTCACAGATGGAGCTTCAGAGAGTCAGTCTCCAACTTCCTTTCATGTGGTTGGTTTTATACATCATATGTTCTGAAAACCAGCTGATTCCTTCTGGAACGCCTCACGTACGGGGATAGACAAACTCCAGGTGGGGCACATGGAGCCTTCAAACCATCCTCCCAGCCTCACTTCCCTTATTCAACTACTCAAAATCCTTTTCTGTTCAAACTGATCTACTGATTATGCCTGTTTTGGGTTGAATTGTTTCCTGCCAAAGAAACATATGTTGGAGTCCTAACCCCCAGTACCTCAGAATGTGACCTTATTTGGAAAGAGGGTTTTTACAGAGAGAATCATGTTAAAATGAGGTCATTAGAGTGGGTCCTATTTCATTATGACTGGCATCTATAAAAAGGGGACATGTGAACACAGAGATAAGCCTGCAGGGAGAAGGCCATGTGAACATGAAGGCAGAGACCGGGGTAATGCCTCTATAAGCCAAGAAACACCAGAGATTGCCAGCAAACCACCGGAAACCAGGGGAGAGACACACAACAGATTCTCCCTCACAGCCTCAGAAGGAACCAGCCCTGCTGACACCTTGATCTGGGAGTTCTAGCCTGCAGAATGGTGAGATGATAACTTTCTGTTATTCTAAGCCACCCAGTTTCTGGTACGTTGTTAGGCAGCCCTAGGAATATGCATGCTACGTGCCCTGAACATTCCTGCCCCCTCACCACGGTGGACACCCACTGCGCCCATCCCAAATCAAGCACCAGATCACTACACAGGACTATTTTTACAAGAACAGTAATAATCCCAGACTAAACCCTATTACTGGAAATCCCAAGGGAATACCAAGATTCCTGGACTGCTCTGCTTGGCTGTTTGCTGCTTTTGCAGTTGGGGTCTTGCTTGAAAGGTACGGGTGCTCAGCTGGGAGAAGAAAGGCTCTCTTCGTTGGAAGGTGAGCTCATCTGCAATCAAGAATCGCTGGGCTCGTGATTCTTTTGATATTCTTTATCCAGGAGAGGCAAATCCATAGCGACAGAGCAGAGTAGGGGTTACCAGGGGACGGTGGAGCCGGATCAGGCAATGATGACTCAACGGGCACAGGGTGTTTTTATGGGGCAATGACCAAGTTCTGAAACTAGAGAGAGCTGGTACGTGCACAACCTTGTGAATATACTAAATACCACTGAACTATACGCTTTATTTTTTTTTTTTTTTATTTTTTTCCCCCAAAGCCCCAGTGGATAGTTGTATGTCATAGCTGCACATCCTTCTAGTTGCTGTATGTGGGACGCGGCCTCAGCATGGCCAGACAAGCGGTGCGTCGGTGTGTGCCCGGGATCCGAACCCAGGCCGCCAGCAGCAGAGCGCACGCACTTAACCGCTAAGCCATGGGGCCGGCCCTGAACTATACGCTTTAAAACAGTTAATTGTATGTTACGTGCGTTTCACTTCAACTAAAAAAAAAAAGAATTGCTGGCCTCGAAATGCTCTCTGAGGACTAAGGAAGACGCCAGAAGAGCACAGCCATGCAGATCTTCTTTACCTGCCATGAGGCCAGTCTCTCACCCAAGGAAATGCCTGCCACTGTGGCCTTGTGACCTCCCTAAGCCCAATACCCTCAGCACAGACCCTGAGCACAGATGACCTGGTACCATGTGCGAACTGAGCACCAAACTCCTGCAAAGAGCTGGCTCCCTGATGAAAAGAAGTCACATTTTTCTAGGCCCCATCTGACTGTTCTCATGACAGAGTCGTTCCAAAAGGAACGGAGAAGTGGGCCCCAGGCAGAGCCCGCTTTGATCCTAGGTCATTACCGTCAGTGAAAGCATCAATCCCACAGTTCTACGTGGGAGCAGCCCCTCAGTCCTTACGCCCCCATTTCGTATAACCCTTACTGCACATGGTCTTCACTCTGCTGCTCTCAGAAGGCCAGAAAACCTTCCGACTTGTTGGCTGATGCTGCCTCTCCAGACAGTCACAGGGCCAATTTGCAGCCTGATTGACAGGAGGAACTGTCAGGAAAGACAGTTTTCAAGAGTGTTGCTGTTTTTACAGCTTCCCAAGATAATCAACATCGGGCAGTTGGACCAACAAGAGGAATCACACGTCTATTTAAACTCAGTAAGGGTGAGCTGCTCTCTGGGCAAGGAGGACAGGCTGCAGCAAGCAAGGATGGATCCCCCGAATTGAGAGGGATTCACGGGGGAAAAGATGCCCAACGTGTCTCTCTCACTACACTGTGAGAGCTCGGGGAGCAGCAGCCGTGTCCATCTTCTCTCAGAATCCTTGGGCACTGCCTCAGGACAGGTGCTCTGAAAGTGCTTGATATATGAATGAATGAGCAAGGAATGAATGAATGGATAGATGGATATTCCAACCAAGTTATTTAGGAAAGGCTAGTTATGAAAAAGATAACACTTCCTAGGGCCCAGGAGACCTCTGAGAGGGGCCCACTTTATGCTGTAATGCCATTACCCTGTAACCATGGCAGAATGGAGGGGAGGGTGGAGGGGGTGGTAAAGGAAAACCACACCGTCAGGATTGAGGATAATTAGGGAACATTATGCCATCTTTGGGTCTGTTAGTGTGCTAGTTTCCCAGGGCTGCCATAACACAATATCACAGAGTAGGTAGCTTGAAACAACAGAAACGTATTCTCTCACAGTTCTGAGGGACAGAAGTCTGAGATCAAGGTGTCAGCAGGGCCATGCTCCCTCTGAAGGCTGGAGGGGAGGATCCTTCCGTGTGTCTTCCAGCTTCTGGTGGTTACCAGCAATCCTTGGCTTGTGGCCGCATCACTCTAATCTCTGCCTTTGTCATCACATGGTCTTCTCCCTGTGTGTCTCTATTTTCTCTTTTCTTAAGGACACCGGTCATTGGATTTAGGGCCCACCCTAATCCAGTATGACCTCATTTTAACTAATCACATCTGCAAAGAACATATTTCCAAATAAGGTCCCATTCTGAGGTTCCAGGTGGACAGGAATTTGGGGGGGCACTGTTCTACCCAGTGCAGTCAGTCATGGCACGCCCTGTATAAAGGCCCTCTGGGACAGGACCACCCACCTTGGTGAACTGAGCTACTTCTGTACAGTGGTGGCTTCCTGCTGTGCAGCCAAATCCAGGAAAGGAGTTTGAGATGAGACAGGAGAGAAATCTTTGGTTCCCCATGTGACCTGCCTTCTCATCCTCAAATCTTAGAGTCCTTTGCATAAGGGGAGACTTGAGAGGGAGGCGTTCTGGTTTCTGGAAAAGTAGAGGTTTAGTCTCATCACCAAGTCACAAGAGCAGCCGGGTGGCCTTTACTCTACGCAGAGAGGACAAAGCAAAACCAGGATGAGGAGAAATGAAACATCTCTCTCATCCAGCCACCATCCACAGGGTCTGGTGACATTAAAAATGAGTGAACCACAGAATCAAATGGTCAAACCAAGGGCAGTGAAAGAAGGAAGGCAGGTGATTGGGGAAAATGGCACCTGTTCTTCACTTAGCACCTGCTGATGCTCTACCACCTGATTGTACTTAGTCTTCACAATGTCTAGGTCACACGTTCACAACAGAGGCTGCCGAGCAGCATCGGGGCTCAAGCACCATCATCCCCTGCCCCAAAGGTCATTTCCCAGGACCCTGGGCACAGCCCTGCCCCTGTGGGGAAATCATGTGCAGAGTTCACAGGGCCCTTTCAGAACCAGGCAGCGCACACTGCAGGGGTGCCTGCAACAGGAATATGCCAGAAAACCACCAATGCTGTGATCCTAAAGTCAGCGGGCCTGCATCTTAACCCAAACTCTTCCTGGTTAAACATTTATCTTAAGATGCTCTCCTCAGCTTCTAAGTGTAGATCTGTAATCCAAAATGGACGAGTCCATTCAAATTTGGAGAAGAGGACTTTCCTTTACTTTTAAAACAATAAACAATAATAAAATAATTTTTTGGATTTTAAAATTTTTAATTGGGGTAAAATACACATAAAATTTACCATCTTAACCATTTTTGAGAGTACAGTTGAGTAGTATTAAGTATATGCACATTGTTGTAAAACAGATCTCTAGAACTTTTTCATCTTACAAAACTGAACCCATAAATAACCCTCCCCATTTTCTTTTACTTTTGAGGTTTAGAAATCCTATGAATAGACCATGACATAGGGTAATTCATTTTCCAGTTCAAAAATTTCTGGAGACATTATGCATGAAGTCTTAAAAAGAATCACCACCTTCCTCTGCCCTCACCCGAGAGTTCACAGGAAGATAGTAAGGACAGAACAAAGAGAAGCAGAAGTGAAGGTAAATGAATTTTGCATAAACAAGAGCTCCAGGAGAAATAGACTATGGGTGGCTGCGTTTAGACCATGAGGTCACGTTGGGTTTGAGCAGCCGAGTTGGTTGGGTCATCTCTGCCTTTGGCCTCACCAACTTGCACAAAGGCATTGTGCCGACAACAGCTTAGTGAGCAAGGTTCACTGATAGCCACATGGACTTGGGGGCCCTTGTGCTGCCCTGGGCCTCAGATGTGACCACCACCAGGTGGCATGCACAAACACCAGCTCCCCTCTGGGGAGACTGCTGAGTAACTTCTAAAAGGAAAATGACCCTATTTAATATTTGGGGTTGGAAAATAGAACCATTCCGAGTCCATACTTGAAACCCACCCAGATTTCACAATGCAACTCTGTCTTGGTATTTAAATTGCCTCCGGGACCTATCTTCAAACACAGACACACCAAGAATAACTTCACAGGGAAATATTTATTTCATGAGACACTCACAGGCTGCCCTTTGCCCTTTACCAACAACAGATGAATTCCTTCCCACAGAGAGAAACCATGAACCTGCTCTCTAGAGCAAGCAGACCAAGGCTGCGCTGAGCGACGCGGGAGAGCAGGCCTCCTGGCCTGACACAAAGAGGGCCTTGCTTAAGAGGGCCGCCTGCGTCTGTGGCTGCAGACCTGTGCTGAGGAGGGCCCAGCAGGCCCTGGACGGCCATGGGCAGGACCTGTGATTGCAATTCCAGGACTCACTAGCCACACAAGGAGGCCCAGATCCAAAGTCAGGCAGGCCTTCAACATTCCCTTTGGGGCAGCCTCGAAAACGCACACACCTTTTGAAGCAGTAATCCCATTTATCACAATCTAATTTAAGCAATAATCCTATAATTTAAGCAATAATCATGGACACACACAATGACACAGGAACAAAGAAGTTCACTCTGGGCTTCTTTATAGAATCAAAATATTGGAAACAACTGAACTTCCAACTATAAGAGGCAGATTAAAAACATGGGATTTTGTCCATGGACTAGGATAAAGGCATCCACAAGACAGACAGTCTCTAATAGTTTTAATGCCACGAGAAAAGTTTTGCAATCTAGTAAGTACAGATATATCACAAAGAACCTGTCTAGTGTGAGGGTAAGTAGGTAAGTAGATAGACCCACCTTTCTTACCAATACAGAATTTGTGTTCTAAAAATTCACAGTTGGCAAAGCAAGATCATAGATATTACAGGATTGAGAGGAAAGCAATAAATGACATTAAATATGTTTTGGAAACAAAGTAAATATAAATTCATGGTGGGGGTGATATGGTTACAGAAATAACATGATGGAGACAGCAGCACCTGAGAACATCAGAGGTGCTGGTACCCTTCCCCCGGGCAGTGGTGGTGAGGCCTGAATCTCACACTGGACCAGAATGGTAAGGCCTAACTGGAGGAGAAAGTACTAGATGGAGGAGCCCAAGGCTGCAGGCCTTGCTCCCTATGGCCTGACTGTGGGTGGACAGCAATGTGGAAGTTCCTACAGGCCCTAATGAAGGGCTTTAGGAATGTTCTAGGGGCCAGCTTCCTTCCCTGGAGATGTCTGGTCAGGATGAAGAGGATACCGCCTATAGGTTCCATATGGGCACAAATGCATAAACATGGAAAGGCCAGCCAGCCAGCCATGAGCCAGACGACACCAGCCTGTCCGGACACCAGCAAGGATCCAGACGGCACATGTGAATTCAGGCCCCCTTCTTCCTGCCACCCTGAGGTCACACTCAGATACCATCTAGTGAAAACAGGACAAGGAGAATACAACCTAAAGAAACAGGCATTTACCCAAAGACACAGGCATCCAAGTGAAGCTACTTAACCAGGAAGAGACTACGGAAATCAAGTTTAAAATTAACTTCTACCCTCTCCTCTACCCAGTGTAGCGGGAGCACTCAAGGACAATTAAACATGTTACCAAAAAAATTTTATGTAATTTCTTTTGCTCACTTCTGAGGGGCAGTGTTAGGTGAATTTTCAACCTTGAAACATGCGTCATCTGAAAATCCCACTAGGCAAAACCACAGTTGGCATCTTACTTGATATCCCAAACATTCACGGTGTTTCTGGGTGGGATTATGGGAGATTTTCATTTATTTTCTTTTCTTCTTACCTATGTTTTCTAAATATTCTACAACAGACATGGTATTTTTTTTTTTACATGAGAAAAACATTGCTTGGTTTATTTTTATTCACCTTGGTGAGCCACCTGTTCTCCATCAGCACTCCTACCCAGCAGGAAGAACAGAAGGGCAAACTCACCCGGCAATGGACAGCCAAGGATCTCCATCCTCATGCAGATGCTCCCGTTATCGAACCAGGACTGTGGGTTGATGCGGATGTAGCGGGCCACCATGGGGATGGGCAGCTCGTTGAGAACAGGGATCTCCTTTTCACTGTTTCCTTCAAATATCTATTTATCCACAAGGGGAAAAAAAAGAGAATCTTTTAGAGCTTGATTATCCAGGGACAAGAGTCAGTAATTCACTCATCCCATAAGATGTTACTGAGGAACACCTAATGCACGCTTGGCATTGAGGGGACAAGAGAAACGAATCTGGCCTGGCCCTTGCCCTCAGAAAGCCCCTATCCACTGGGATGCGGGAGGAGGAGGAGGGTAATACTTAGATATCATAGGTGAAATCTGTTAGTGCCATGGCAAAGAGACAGCCACAGAGCTCTGGGATTTCAGAAGGAAAGGACCAGGCAAAGCTTCGGGGAGGAGGTGCTGTTTGAATGGGCCTTGAAGGAAAACAATTTAGATGTGTAGGGATGGGAGGGATTCTAGAGAAAAGGAACAGCAATGCATGGAGAAGCCCAGAGATGGGATTCCGAGGGAGAAGAGTGACTGGCTCACTTTACCTGGAACACAGGAGTGGGGGCGCGGGGTTGGGGGGCGTGCAGGCAGCAAGGGAAGGATGAGAAAGAAGGTTGAAAACGGAGGCTGCAGTCAGACTGTGTAAGACACTGGACACAACGTTAGGAAGACGCACTTGAGAACCTGAGGAAGAGCGTCACGTGACCAGAATGGGCTACCCTGGAGCAAGTCGGGGAGCTGAAAGATCACGGCCGTTAAAGAAAGTCAGGAGGCTCTTGTAAGTGAACAGCTGTGAGGGCCCCAGCACACACTACGTGCCACGTATCTTCCAGGCTGATCTGAGAATTGTGGAAGGGGCTGCAGCTCAGCAGCTCTGAATTTTACATTCGCCCTAAACGTGGGCCACTTGGTGCTGAGCCTCAGGGCATGGAAGGGGTGGCCATTATCCATCAGATTCTGTGAGCGGCTTGAGTTGACACACAATCAGCAAACCTCCAGGTGCAAACACTGACTGGGCATACACCACCTCGCTATGCAGAGCCCCACAGAGCCAGGGACCAAGGTCAGAGGGAAGAGACTCACCATGTCTCCAGATCCATTCTTAACAGTGACCCATGTATGGCTGTCATTGCTCACCATGACCTTATAGGAGGTCACCCAGTCACTCCTAAGAGAAAATAAAATGTCACACTTTAAAATGTTCACCTCTTCCCCGTAGGGGTGTAGCAATAAGGAGAGTAGGCACCAGAGGCAGACAGCACTGGGACACCCCGGCCCCACTGCTCACCGTGACCCTGGCCAGGTAAGTGACCCACCTATGCCACAGTTTATCCATCCGTAAAATGTCAATCATAGAAGTACCAAGCTTAAAAGATTAACACGAGCGCTCGATGGTTTAATACCCCTTAAACACAGGACAATGCCTGGCCGGTAATAAGCACTTAATATTGGTCACACACATAAAGATATACAAATACTACATATTTGTTTATATTGAACATTTATATCACACACAGTAGTAGCTTAATGGAGTCTCACATGGAAAAATAATCTCAGTAAAAGCTGCAAGTTGGTCTAGAAATTTCAATTGGAAAACTGATTTGGGACCATAATAAACTAGATCCCACCAACCACAAAAATAACAGCTTGAGTCTTTAAGAGACACTGGGTTTCTCCTTGGCCGTTAGAGCCAAGCAGACAATCCCCCACCCCCAGCAACCATCCAATGATAGCTGGGCCCCAAGCCAGACCCCTGTCATCACGTCCTACTGCACAGAAACTACCCAGGGTAAAACGACCATAATTTGACTTCCCAGAGTGGAGGTCAATTTGATAGGCTTGGCAAAAATACAAATTTCATGTGGAAAACACATTTTTTCCCTCTGCCTCGGTTTTTTATGACATTATTTGTTAAGCAATACAGAAAAGTCTTCCTGAGCATCTTTTTTCCTGATTTTTAAAATACAGGAACAAAGCACCCATTTACTAATCTTTTAGGACGTTCTGCCAGCTGAAGCATTTGGAATCCCTCTTTTCCTACTGTGAAATCTCTTTGGACTCAGGATCCAGATATAACCCAATAAGGTTCTGAGTTTCTAGTCTGAATCAATACTGTCTAGTAACATTTGTTTGAAAGAACAGCTGGTTCTATTCATTCTGGTTCATCTGACTGATGTTGTGAAAATTATTCTTAGGTGCTTTCATAAGTGCTTGGAAACTAAACCTCCCCTCAAACCTTCTCTCTTCTCCTCTCTCCTCCCCACCAGCTTTGTCTGAATACCTGCTGGAAGCCAGAATCTAGCACACAACACATTCCCCTCGAGGGTTCCAGGCCCGAGCCCACGCCAGCCGATGCAGACGCATTAAGCACGCCTTCTGAAAGGCACCCCAAGCGACAGCTCATGTCCTCTGCACTGGAAAATTATCCTCACCCAAAATAGCAACTTGTTTCCCACACTCAAATAATTTCCAAATGACTTGTGACTGCTGCTCCTTTTGCCGTCTGTTTTCAGCTGATGTGCCCCAGGGCGATCTGGCAAGGCAGTCTGCAGAGGTGAGGGCTGTCTCCCACAGATACGGAGGTGATGAGTTTAGGAAACCTCTCAGTCAAAAGAGGCACACAAACAATGAGAGGGGCAGAAAGAAAAATGAAAATAAGTTCTCCAAAGAAAAGGAAAGAGAGAAAAGGAAATGAAAGCCAAGCAATGATTTCTCAAACTTAAAAATATATATATAGACAAATCCACTACTTATGTTTGAATAGTAATTAAGCGTTTACACGGCTCAGACCTCTCTTCTGAACTGCAGCCCTACGTCACATCCTTCTGCCAATTTCCTCTTAACACATCACATTTAACTTGACCCAAACCAACCATGTCAAACCAACCAACCTGGGTCTAACAGGGTCCCTGCCCCAGAAAAGGTACTGCTATCTCCCCATGGGGGGCAAAACCCCAGAGTCATCCTTGGCACCCCACTTTCCCTCCCTCTCCTATATTGAATCCATCACCAAGTTCTGTCAATTTTACCTCCCACATCTTTCCAGAATCTATCCAGCTCTCTCCATCCTCAGTGCCACCATCCCAGCCCCTTCTCTTGGGACAAGACTGTTACAGTTGCCTCCAATTGGTCTCCTGGCATTTAAACTGCCCCCAAATCTATCCCGCAATCAGAGGTTTACTTTTCTAATGAAATATTATCATGTCACCGCCTACTTAAAATACCACTCTTATCCTAGTATTAAGACCAAAATCTACATCATGTTCTACAAGACCCTTGCTTACCTCTTGTTTTCTGTGCTCTTTCTTTCAATTCCTCACACCAATTATACTCTCATGCCTCAGGGCCTTTGCACATAATGTTCCATCTATCTGGACTCCTCCTCCTCTCCTGTCCCCTGTCTGCCTCTAAATTATTCAGACCTCAAGTCTCATCAGAAAAGCCCATCCTAAACCTCCAATCTAGCCAGTTTCTTTTCTTATATGTTCCTTTCATAGTTTAGTTCCATTTGTAATTTTATACTCCTTTCTAGAATTATCTGATGGTGTCTTTATTCCCCACTGGAGTATATGCATCTCATAGACGGAAGAGGGAGAGGCCATGGTACTTTGGAAGACACGAAAGGAAGCTGACACGCTCCTGGAGGCCAGAGTGAGGGGCAGGGCAACAGAAAGTTTGATTGAGTTCTTCCAAACATTTAAGAAAGAAATGGCACTTTTTTTTTAAATCCAGAAAATGGAAAAGGGAAAGCATTTTCCATTATGAGTTTGGCATATCCTTGATATCAAAATCTGATGAGGACATTACAAAAAGCAAAATTACGGTAAAATTTATTTCATGAGCATAGATACAAAAAACCCTAGGCAGGATATTACCAAATTGAATCCAGCAATATGTAAACAGGATAATACATCACCACCAAAGGGGATTTATTCCAGGAATATGAGTGGTTTAGCCACAACTGTAACCATTCAATATAATTCATCACATAAACAGAACTAAGGAGAAAAATCATATGATCCCTCTGATAGATGCAAAAAAGGCATTTGAAAAAATTCTATAGTCATTTGTGTTTAAAAATTAAAAAACTCATTAAACTAGAAATAAAGAGGAATTCATTAATCTGAAGAAAAATGTCTACAGAAAACCCATAGTAGAGTGTGGCCAAGCCCCTGCGGTGAGGGGCCCCAGGGCACACACTGTGGAACATGCGGGGAGCTCCTGCAGTGGCTCCAGAGCCTGTATGTACTGACTCATTTCAAGAACCGAAAGCTTTTATAATGTGAACAAAAAAGTCCAACAAGAGGAGTTGCACATTCTCCTGCTGTAACATTAGAAAGTGGTTTGATAGAAGCTGAAAGACTTTATTCAGTATTTTCTGAATGTGGACCTGCTATGCAGCTGCAGCAACTATCTGACAACTCAAAGATCATAAGTATGAAAAATGAATATACCTTGACGTTTTCTTAGAACTTTGAGACAAGCAAAAATGAAAACATATAAGGACGTCTTCTTAGAACTCTGAGATAACAAGTACGAAGAATGAATGTCTACTGATGTGGGCACTGGCACAGTCAACCAGCTGAATAAGTGCCAGCAGCTGCAAACATCCAGACTCTCTTGTTATGTGACAAAGAATGAACTCATAGTTGATTAAAATATAAGCAAACAAATAGGAAAAAAAATTGATTTATAGCAAATGTGTCACTAATGTGCAATAGGAAAATAATATAAATGGTTCTGGGTCAATTGGAAACCCATATAGAAAACAGTGTATCTTGATCCCTACCTCACACCATGCCATAACCAACTCCAGATGGAGTGCAGATCTCAATGTGAAAGGTAAAGCAATAAAGCCTTTAGAAGAAAACATAGGATATACATACATTCAGCTGTAGTAGTTATTCAAATTAATTGTATCTATTTACACTCATGAGTTTTTTTGCTGAATATATGTATTGCTAATATCTTCTCCAGTTTGTGTCTTCCTTTTCATTCTCTTTGTGGTATCTTTAGATGAAGAGAATTTCTTAATCTTTATACAGTCCAGTTAATCATCTTTTTCTTTACAGTTTCCAGTATTTGTGACTTTTTTCAATAAATTTTTGCCTACTCCAAGATCATAAAGATGTTCTCCTATGTTTTCCAATCTTGATATTGGTAGTTGATTTTTTTCCTCTTTTCCTGATCAGCCATGAGTTTGTTAATTTTATTAATCTTTCAAAGAATCAACTTCTGGCTTTGTTTACTCTCTCTGTTGTTTCCTATTAGATTGACCCATATGAAGCTACCATTTTTATAGGTCAAAATGGTTGAATATCAGCAATTTCCTAAGGCTAAAACAAATATTTCATTAATTTCTACTATTATCTTTATTATTTTCTTCTTGGTACATTCTTCAGGTTTAATTTGCTGTTCTTTCTGTACAGTTTCTTGAGATCACTGATTTTCAGTCTTTCTTCTTTCCTGACATATGCATTTAAGGTTATAAAGTTCCCTCTGAGCACTGCTTTAGCTACATGCTATAATTTTGATGTGTCATATCTTCATTACCATTTGGTTCAAAATATTAATTCCTATTGTGCTTCTTCTTTTATCATGGACTATTTAGGGGTACAATTTTAAATTTCCAGGTACTGGAGATTTTCTGGTTATCTTTTTATTACTGATTTCTAGTTTAATTCCATTGTAGACAGAGAATATACTTTGAATCACATCAGTCCCTTGACATTTGTTGAGATTTCTTTTGTGGCTCAGCATATAGTCACTTTTGGCTAATGTTCCATGTGCACTTGAAAACAATGTCGGCTCTGTAATTGTTGTGTGCAATGTTCCACACACATAATTTTAATCAAATGTATTAATTGTGTTGCTCAGATCTTTTGTATCCTTAATGATTTTTTGGTCTGCTTATTCTATCAGTTATAGAAAGAGATGTGTAAAAGAACACCAATTGGATTGTGAATTTATCTGTCTCCCCTTATAGTTCTCTCAGTCTTTGCTATATATATTATTAATCTACATTATTGAGTGCATACAGATTTAAGACTGTTATATATTACTGGTAGATTGAGTCTTTTTTGATTATAAAAAGTCCCTCTTTATTTCTATCAATGCTTCTTGACTTAAAGTCAACTTTATCTGATTTTAGAATAGCTAATCCTGCTT